CCTCTGTTCCCAGTACCCACTGCCATTATCGTTTCCCCATCATCATCCCTGCCACCATCATCATCTTCTGCCCTCATCATCATTATCATCATCAGAAGCAGCAGTCTCACCATTACCGTCATCATCATCATCATTAGGGCTGGTAATCATCCATGAGGGGTTTCCATGGGGCAGGATAAAAGGGCAGTCTTAGCTCTCGCCTTCCTCACATTGTGCTTCGGTATCTTGGAAGGATGTTGGTCTCCCTCTTGTTTTTGTTAGCCCTCACGTCAGCTGCAAGCCAAAGACCCTGCATGTTGAAAACTTGAAGTTTTTTTTTATTTATCCTCTGGGATAAACGTCTGCATCTGCACTGTCTGACATAACTTTTGGACTTACTGGTTGCAGAGTGAGTAGCAGTTGTAACCCTTTCTCTGGAATTTATGTACTCCCCATTTTAACGTGAGGAGAAGCTGTACAGATTGGAGGTTTTTCTTCACATATTGTGACATATTTTAAGTCACATTTCTGTAAGTACCGGGGTTGTTTCAGCCAGACAATATTGTTTCATTCAGCAAAGGTTGATTTAAAAGTACAGTTTGAACTGAGTCTGTAGCCTTTAATCCACATGCTGCAGGATTAGGGTGAGCTTTGACTGAATGTATTTTCATACAGCGTGGTGAGCCCTGCTTTCATATGGATCAATGAAACATGTCTGTCTCTCTTGCACAGAAGTAGCTGCTGAGATTGGTTTCTCTGTGGATCCTGTGGCTAATGAGGAGAGTTGTGCCTACAGCCGGCTCAGTCTCAGTATGGAAAGTGAAACGGAAAAGTCACGCGGCCCCACTGGCAGCGGTAGGGAAGATGAGGGCAGATCCCCCCAGCACCAGGCCAGCTTTCCTCCCTACCTGTCCTGCAGGGGTTGTGGACAGCTCCGCGACGAGCCCCTCGGACCTGGCATAGACCTTGTCGGCCCATACTGCCTTAGATGTTGTAAAGCCTCCAGGGAAGCCAAAAGTGCAGACTTCTGTTCGTCTTTCGGGAGCATCAGTGGGATTCGCCAGGGGTCCCACGCTGGTGCCCATTCTCAGATGGATTGTGAGGGGCTGGGAAACTGTGTGGGTGACAGAACACTGCCAGAGGAGGACAGGTCGCCCAAACAGCACGCGTGTCACGTCTGTGGCTTCTCCTCTCGTTACGCCAACCATGTGAAGCGTCACATGAAGACCCACAACGGGGAGAAGCCCTTTAACTGCCCCCTGTGCACGTACGCCTCGGCCCAGCTGGTCAACCTGCAGAGACACCTGCGCATCCACACGGGGGAAAAACCCTACAAATGTGACCGCTGTACTTTTGCCTGCAGTTCCCTTGGCAACCTTAAGAGGCACCAGCGGATGCATGTGCCCTCTGCAGGGGTCGGACAGGAAACCCCCCCACGACCTACTGTTGGCCAAAACATTCTGAAGAGGTCTGTGAATGGCCAAAAGCCTAATCAAGAGCTGTCTGGTGCTTCAGGTAAGGATCCTTTATTTTCTGCCCTATGTTAAAACGCTCCCACAGTTATCTTAATTCAAAGTGCTGATAAATGATAAACCACTTTGATGGCTCTGGTAACTCATTGTGTTTACTAACTCACCTTAATCTTATCGTTAAGCCTCAGAGATTGCAAAGCCAACGTCCAACCTCACTTTGGTAGCTCACAACAGTGACTACTTGTCTGCCTTTGACGGCTTAAAGGGAGCATCCCCCCCACCCATTCCTGCCTCGAACCCAGCTCCTGGCCACGCTCCTCCACCGCTGCTGGAGATGACCGACAGCAGCAGCAGCGGCAGCAGCAGAGCCCCCAGAGGAGGAGCTGTAGCAGATGGTGGCGCCCTGCCACCCTCACTCTTCCCCTTCACATGCCGGCTGTGTGGGACCGTCTTAGAAGACGAGGACGGCTCCTCCGCACAGATTTGTGCCAAGTGTACCCTTGAAATGCTGACAAAAGACTCCTCCTCGTCTCCCAACAGCCCCGGCGAGCGCAGCGACAAGGTTTACACGTGTGCCGCCTGTCCCTTCCTCACACACTACCCCAACCACTTGGCGCGCCACATGAAAACACACAGCGGCGAGAAGCCCTACAAGTGCCCCCAGTGCGACTACGCCTCAGCGCACTTCGACAACCTCAAGCGCCACCACAGAGTGCACACGGGAGAAAAACCCTACAAGTGCCATTTGTGCGATTACGCCTGCGGGAACTTGGCCAACCTCAAGCGGCACCAGAGGGTGCACTCGGGCGCCAAGCCCTTCCAGTGCGCCGTGTGCAGCTACAGCTGCAACCAGAGCATGAACCTGAAGCGCCACATGCTGCGCCACACCGGCGAGAAGCCCTACAAATGCCAGGAGTGCGGCTACACCACCGGCCACTGGGACAACTACAAAAGGCACCAGAAGAAACACGGCCTGGCCACAGACGGCTGGGTCAAAGTCCCCGTGGCCGGCAGCAATGGAGCAGGGGGCGCCAGGAAAGGGATGGGCAGCGGCGCGCACACTCACCGAAAAGAAGCAGGAGTCGATATGCAGTACATGGCGAGGGAGGCGGGTCCGGGGATACACCCCTGCTATAAACATGAGATTTCATAAATTATAAGCTACCAACAACTTAGTTTTATGTTCGTAGCGCCTTAATTTTAGTTTAAATGTGTGTTTCACTTTGACAGATTTCTTCAGAGGCTGCTAAACGTAGAATGTCGCACAGTTGAGAAAATCCTGTTCTGAGTATCTTGAGGCCTTTTTTTGTTGTTTTTCTTTAGATTGAAAGAGGTGGATGAGAGTTGACTATATGTACTGTGGAAGTCTTTAACCATCTCACTTGTGAAAGCTGGAAAACGCCAGACTTACTAGAAATGTTCACTCACATTAAAAGGCATGTTTTCCTTCCAGAATGAGGGACATAAGCTAATACATTGGAACATGGAACTAATGCACACATTTGCCTGAACTGTTAGAGCTGCACTGTGTAGTTTAAAACATTTTCATACTTAACTAGGAAAAGACAGTTCCTTTGTAGCACAGGCTTTTGTATCCAAAATGCAATTTCTAAAATCAGTTTTTGCCTTTTTCCTTGACTGCACAGTGCAGCTAAAATGAATTTGAATTCATGAGTGGGTAATATAGTGATTCAGTAATTATAGATTGAAAACTCTTGAAAAATTGATGCCTTTCAATTGATGTATGGACCACTATCGCAGAGCTATTTAATGGTACCATTTTAGAATGGAACAAAGCATCATTGCACTCTGGAAAAAAGTTTAAAACTAGATTGACATTTTTACCAAACCCCTCAGGTCTCAATTTTTCTGTTAAAACATAGCAAAGAACTCAATCATTTGGAGCTACTTTAACACTAATTTTGCATGCAAAAGCATGTCGACAGTCTTCTGACTTGATGTGGGGAGAATAGATGTGCTGCCACAATCAGATGTTTGTTGGCAGGTTGGAGATTAAACTAAAGGTAAAAATATTCACAATGTGATTCATTGCAAGTTTAAATGTTCATAGAATTCCCAGCATCTGAAATAGATTTTGGGCCTCTGGAAGCCTTCTTAAGGGGGACTTTGGAACTGAATGTTTTGATTCCAGTTAACTGTTTTTCTTATGTAGCTGTACCCCGACTTTAAAGAGTGTTTGTGAAATGTTAAGATATGCAAGGAGATCATTACAAGTTGCCAACTTATCTGGTCCCAGTGGAGCATCCCTCCCGTTGATGGGTACCAACATCCTGCAGAGGGCCATTTGTGTTTTAGTGCGGTGTCATAAATGCCTTAAATGAGGAGTTTTGAAATAAACACATGGAATACATGTCGTTAGATGTCAGAAGGCCGACACTTCTGTGGCATTTCCACATGGAGCACATAAGTCAATTATGAGCACAGTCACACTCGTCTGGCGTACCTCTACACATGTGACACATGAAAATCTGACAAGGTGTTGGGATGCAGCCGTAAATGTAGCCACGCTCTCCAATAACTGGTGGAATTGAGATTTGGTGACTGTATGCCTTTTTGTCATCATCTTTAATACCCACCCAGACTTTTGATGATTTCCCTCATCCTCACCTTGTTGCTGTTACCATTCAAGGCATCAGGACATCTCAGCATAATAATAATGCCACCAGTTACCCCATGGTTCTTTGGTTTTCCCAAACTTTTTCATAGCAATTAATGACAAGATCACCGATTTCAGTTTATTTTCCCAACATGACAAACAGAGCAGATGCTGGCTTTACTACTGAAATCAAAGTGAACATTAGTGGGATGAAATAAGTCAGTAGAATGTTTATTAAACCGGACATTTACTTTGAAAGGGTCGCTGGTAGGAAAACTGTGACTTGGCACCTACACATGTACTAACATCCTGCACCTTGCAGTGAACTTGGTATAAACTGGAACAACAAAAAAAGATGTGATATCCACACTGACCACATTACTGTCAAAGCAAATGAAGAATTTTAAATCACAGCAGTGAAAGTACAATACATTTACATTAAGAAACATTTAGTTTGTCATTCTGGCTACCAGTGAGAGTAAAGCTGTTGATAGGTTGGCACTGGTTTACAATTAGAGGCTTAATAACATGTTGAGAGGCAGATTTTTAATGACTCAAGCTAACAATAAAACTGGAATGGCACATCTTCTAATAAGAGTGAGATATGTTCATTTTGTTGCCTACTCTCCATGAATTTTGTTCACTCCAGCAATTGTGATCACATTAAGCACTTCAAAGCACCTTTTTCAGCTAAATCCTCTGAGATGATTGGTACAATGTACAAATTACAAATGAAAAACATGAATCGTGAAAAGACATCAACATGACCACATCCCCAAAAAGTACAAGACGAGGAAACCTTGTAAAGACTAATAGAACTAAAAACTGCTCTAAACATTATGTAAACATGATAAATGTTGGTCCATTTACACATTACATATAGCTTAGATTACATTTGATCTATTTGATTACAATAACCTATGGCGATAAGAGAGATTAGTAAATGTTCAGAATGCTTAATTACATGAAAAAAAGTGACATTGTCATAGGTTTTGTTTATTTTGTGCAAAATGCTTTAGTAAACTATAATTTGGCATTAATGAGAAACCTTAAAAACCAAGAAAAGCATAGATGGATTTAAAGAGCCCCCTGGAAGAATAGTCTCCATCCAATGTTTAAAGTCCAGCTTGAGCTTCCACTCAAACATTCATCTCTACCTGTAATACTGTGCAAAATGACGGCTTCAGCAAGTGCAAGCAGTTCAACCGACCCCCCCCCCCCCCCCTGCAAGATTCTGTTCTGCAAGATTCTAGTTAACAATGTAGGATGATTCAAATGTCTACGCTCTCCTAGCGGCAGGGTAACGCCCACGAGGCGAAAAGTAAAGGTTAAGGCATCGGACTCCTGAAGGCAGCACGAGCGACACCTGCTCTGATGCCGGCTGACAACAGCGCTGATGATATCTGCTAACTTGGCACACGAGTAGCACGACAGGAGGACCCCTATCATAACAGAGACATGTTTTGGTATTTAGCCATGCCAAACATGCTTAAAACCAAGGTTTGGCTCTGAATCATCTACAGCTGCTGGAGTTCGCTGAAGCGTTCTGAGCACTGTTTGCCCAGTACTATTTTATCACTAGTGGCAGGTCTAACTAAACATTTGGCTCTTTCTGCTTGAATATTAACATATAGTTCCTCAAAGCTGAACCCAGGCTTCTTCATGTAGCTCAGTAACATAGAAACAATGTTTAAACATAATTACGGTAACTAAAACACAAACCAAAATAAGCCTTCAGAGTCTGGAACAAAGGACAGGGTCAAAACTTGGATGGGTGCTTAAGGCAGCCGTTTGTCCAGGAGGAAGCTACAATCTTGCAGAAGTGGACACCTGCCGGGGCTGCTCGGCTCGGCTCAGCTCAGCTTGTTATCTTTGTTGTGAACAGTGGAATGAAAACGGGACGATGGTGGTTTGCGGGTTACAGGTCGTCGTCTCCAATCCCCTCGAAAGCGTAGTTGCCATGGAAATCATTGCCGCTGATATCGTTAGCCGAGTTAGAGGCGCTGATCCCTCTGAGAGACACCGAGTTCAGCTTGGTCTGAATGGAATAATCAGTAGTGTCGTTAACACTGGTGTGAATAGGAGCATAGATTATTACGCAGCTCTGCTCTGAGCTGCACTGCAGCACCGCAAAAGGGAAACAAGCACTCACCGAGAGTTTGACCATTTGTTCACGGTTCGGGTCAGGAGAGTCCTGCAACACACAGCACACAGTCAGAAAGACCCCCACTGAGTTCTGCAGCTACCCACAACAGAAAGCTTTGGGCGTGCCACCCCGTGTCTCACCAGTAGAGGGGGGGACTTTACAGTCTGCTGACTGTCAGCCCGGTGGATGGAGCCATTGTGTCGCTTCTTCAGCATCTTAAAAAAGAAAAAAAAAAAGAACAAATAGCAATAACTGCCGCATCAAACAAACTTGAGTATATTTGCTCCAAAAATACACTCAAGTTTGTGGGTCTCCATAAGAGCATTTCCTCAACAAACCTTCTTTATGCTGCCACCGGACTTCTTCACCATTAATTCATCCACCATAGACTGAAGGCAGATACTCATCATGATGGCCTGAAACAGCAAAACAAAACAAAAAAAAAACATATGTGACTTCTGGGTTATCATTTGTAATCAGTAGAATTGTATTGAGTGTTGTTCTAATCCATCACACACACGCACACACATCTCTGTCAGAACAAAAACATCAGTCCCAGCATTGTTTTACTCTTTTGTGACACGTTTCTGGCTGGTGTTCTATAACAAAACATTCATAAACTTTTAGTGACCTCAGCAGCAGGCCTGTTTTTAGCAGTAAGACACTTTCGTTATGAGGTAATTCAATAGGAAAAGCTACTTATGTGGATTATCTTAAGAATGCAGGAGTTTTTTTTCGAAACAAAGAGGCCCACCAATCCTTCAGGTTATGGTAGGCATGGGCTAACAACAGAAACCCGATGGGCACAGCTTTCAGTGGACACACGGCCCTCACACTGACCTGCTGACTCGTGATGGTGACCCACTGGAGACGGTCCTTGCTCATCAAGTACTCAAAGGACAGCTCCAGCTTGACCTCGCATTTGGCTGAGCTGCAAGGATTCGTTGTACCATTGGACACTGGGACTTGCTGCAGTGTCGGACAGAAAACAAAAACGTATCATGCCCCTGCTGTAAACAAAATATTCCACCATACACTATGGTTTCTATTCAACCAGCATTGCTATCCAAAGGACAAATTTGGGGATTTTCCTTCAACTATGATTATAGACAGATTTAGTGAAAAGCTTTCATTGAACAATTTATTCTGAACTCCCACTTTGACTGATACTCATCAGTACTGAACGTGTCTCATCGCTTGCCAAGGCAGATAGTTAGTGATTCACTGCTGCTGGGAGCTTCTACATGCCTCCATAAAACAAGCGTGTTTGACGGATCTTCTTGGCCTGAACATGCACAGCACAACGCTAAAGCCCATGAAGTGACAGAGCAGAGCTGAGAAGATTGGCAGATTTCTACCAATCAGAAATATCTGCCTGGGGTAGTTCTAAAATAATACATCAACTGTACACAAACACAAACAATTGGATGTTAACAACAGTGTCGACCTCAAGGAAGACCTTCACTCGACAGGAAAAGTGGTACAGGTTTTACTCGACATGTTAGGTACAGGTACACTCTTAGTGCGTGCTTATGGTGAAATGGTGCAAACAGAGCTGGAAAAAGCTTTGATAAAGATAAGGTAGAAAGTGGGTAAAGACTGAGCGCTGTCCGAAAAAGACACACTCCAACATCAACTGGAGTGTGGAGCTAGCTGATTACACAGACAAAGAACATTCGGATGAAGGCTATAGTTGTATGGTCAGATGGGATAAAAGCTTGTTTCTTGGTCAGGACTTACCACTGACCAGGCGAATGTTATGCAAAAATAAAGAACACTGCACCAATTGTTCAGTGTGGTGGGATTTTGGGGTCGCTTTGCAGCCACTGAAACTGGTAGACGAAGCTCAGACGTAAGGACTCCTTTGAGATGGAGAGAAAAAGACGCCAACTTTCTGCTTTTGAAAGATTCCTGAAAGCCTTGGGGATCATGACAGTTCCATCTTCAGCCGATTTGTTAAATTTAACTCCATGTGTTTGTGAGTGATAAATAAACAGATTTAGTAACCTCCTAACCAACAAGCAATCTGCATTCTTAGGCAGAGAAAAATCTAACTACTCTTTTGTATGACTGGAGAGCCACATATTCTGCTTAAATCCTGTTTTCTAAACAACACAGTCCCTTTTTAGGCTACACTTGAAAAGAAAAAAAGACATGCAGCCTAAGTTGAAGTGGACATTTGCCTCTGAGGTCAACATGAGTGGAAGAAAGAATTTACAGAATATCAAACAATTGAAAAAAACTGAGATGTATACATGGTTCTATGCAAATTTTCCTTCTTTTCTTCATTTTTTGGAGGCTGAGCTTCTCATCAAGAAACACTTCCCGTTCCTCCCATGCTAACCACAAAAGATAACATTCCATAAAAATCCATGAAGAAACAAAGGCTTGACACACGCATACTGTTTATACGAGCTCTTCCGGGTGGAATTTGAGATTCAGCTACGAGGGGGGCTGCAGTGCTGCACTGAAATGCGACGCTGTGGATAGTTTGCTGGAGAGGAAGGAGCTCATTAAAATGACTTTGACCTCTGAGAGCGAGCTTAGAAATTAATCACCCTGCTGGGCAGCGCTGGGCCTCACTGTCATCAGAGAGGCCACCATGCATTTTCATTTTACATGTTGCCATGTGTCTGGATATCTGTGCAAATGAACTCTGGGATAATTATAAAAAGGTCAACTCGTGACTAAAAAGAGATAAGTTATCCAGCAAAAACAGATGTGTTTGTAAATGTTGGTGATGGCGTTCAGCTTCCATATTGACTGGAAGACACCTTAACCAAAGGGACGTTCTAATTTCTAACCAAACCTTCTTCAAAAGGAGAAGTCAGCCATCTGGTCTCAATTCACTTCCAGGACTCGATTTGCTGAGGACCAAACCAACCAGATTTCAAAGATCAGGAGATTGTGAGTCAAAGCATTAGACAGTTAGGTAGAAAAGGTTTGACATTTAATTCCTCTCTTAAAGGGAATACATGAAGCCACAAAGGCTAAAAAGACTGATCTGGACTGTATACAGAAGGCGGTGTGGACACTTTTCGTTAATGCATGCCATTTGATTCTTCCCCTGCCAACAGATATCTATCACTTAATATGACGGATGTTGTTCTACGTGTTAATCTAGCCCATCAATACACCACTATTCTCTTGTGGGCTGCGTGTTAGCGTAATTGGACCAATGCAGATAGATGGTGTAGCAGTCAGCACTTTCAGTGAGAAGTTGGGAGCACAAAAAAAAGGAAAATGCTTAGGCAGGAGACTTTCTGCTTGTGGTGCAGTGGTGAGAGGTGGTTCATATGCGGGACATCTGAGAACCACAAAGAAGCTGGTTATTGGTCCAGAGTCCTCATAATGACGTGAGCATTTCACAGATAAAGCCAAAATCACTAATTCTTGCCCACAGACACACTTTTCCACTTACAGATGATGTGACTCGCCAACACCTCATGCGCGTGACCTTGAAGCTTCCCTCCTTCATTTGGTCATTGGGCAGCTTGACATGGAAATTGAGCTCGTTGTTGCCGGCACTGACTATGACTTGGCAGCCCTTCTCAGGGAAGTCAGTGATGCACGGGTCAAACTTGATGTAGCCATAATATTTGAGAGTCTGACCTAGATGGATGAACTTGGAAAATGCAAAAGACAGTTCTTATACATATCTATGTATCACAGGTGATAAAAAATTCATATAATTGAGAGAAACTGGGCTAACTGTGCAACAGAATACACCAGAGGCAGAATTCTCTGGAGTTTACTAATTTATGCCTGGAATAAGACCTATCTGTGTCTCAGCTGGATGCCTCTGGCCCATTGTGACAGCAGAACGCTCTAGAAGAGAAGCCCTTGCTTACTTCTTTCTTGGAGCCTTTCTCTTGCAGCGATTTGAGCTGCCTGTGCTGGTCTTTGTTGACGAGTATCCAGCCTCGCTCAATGTCAGACACTGTCTGGTGAAATCAAAAAGAGGAAGGAAGAAGTTCATCGTTCCACACAAACGAGCTAAACAAAATCAAGTCGCAGAAGAAATTACCCTGTGAGGATTTCATTACAGTCTAGTAGGTAAATTACGCAGAAATATGCACAAATGCTTTGGAACATTTTTGTAACGGAGACAATCTTGAGCAGTCCCAGACTCAAATCAAGCCTGAACCCTCAGCAGTGCTTGATACAATAAATCATGCATGTTGCAGAAAAGGCAATTTGCTACTAACAGGATCATAGAGGAGCAGAGAGACACATCAAATTCAAGGTGCTGCAAAGTCAAAACACAATCAGGTGATGGGGGAAGGGAGAGAACATGTCAAAAAACATTTGGAAGCCCAAGGATGAGGAAAGTCTCACTGCATACGTTCATAGCAGAACTGAAACCACAGATGCCGAATGTAAGTATAGTTTTAAATGGAATTCTGAGTCATTTTGGAGAGCGCACTCACAGTTATAACTAAAACAGTGTCTTGTTTACCAGCTGAACTCCTGGATGAATTCTCTTACCTGGGCGTATAACAAATTCAGGCCCACTCTGTTGTCCATCACATCACCGTCATATGCCATGTCCCAGTAGCTGGTAAAACAAAAGGGAAACTTCACTAAAAGTACATATTACTTACATAGTTGTAACGCGGTATCAGTGACGGATGTCAAACTTCTTTACATTACTGATGCTGCATTCTGATATGAGTGAAGGCTTATCATTGCCTAAGATAAGAGACCCCTTTTGGGCTTCAGAAATATTTGACATGAAGTGATTTGCTGACAGAATTTGTTTTAGTTGATGTCAAGCATGTTAGCCATATCAGCAAAGCAAAACAGAGTGAAAATGAAGCAAAGGTTAGCAAGCACAAGTGACAAGTGTGCTATTTGTTGAACTCAATGCAGAGACAGTTAATGTCACATTTCTGTCTATCGAAATGTAAATCCAAATTACTTACAAGATAAAAAACTTTCATTACTGTTTATTCTTTCAGTGGCTCTAAGAAAATTAGAAAATTAGACAAGTCCTGAGACAAATCTCAGTTCCAGCCAAAGGAGCTCTTTGAGTCATCCTAGTTTGTAATCTCATACAGTGGGGGTCTGTTTTTCCTCCTCTTCGACTTGTTAGTTCTACAATCATTCTTCCCTTGCTCCCCGACATTTCAAAGTGTAACTAGGTCAGCAGGACTGAGACTTTCCTTCAGGGAGAAAAAGTAAACATCCTGTGTACCTCTGGAGTCAGCGGGAGGCAGGGTGACGAAAGAACAGACACATGAGGAAAAAGAAAAATGTTTCATTTATAAAGAGAGCAGTCAGGCTTCAGGCTGGATTGGGAATATGTGTTTTGCAGGAAATATTGTCATCTCTTATTATATTAAATATGCTCCAAACAAAAGATGTGTTTCACAATGTTTTCATTATGCTTTTTACTTTTCTTTTCTTTTGTGTGGTTTTCTTTTTGTGACACGCACAACTTGATGATACTAATTTTGAAAGTATAGAACAGCAGTGGAGGGTTTTATTGGGAATTGACACTAACAAAATATGAAGACTTCAAGGGACACATTCCATTACCGTCTATAGGAAGTCGGCTCAGAGGTTGGCAATATGCCATGTTGTTCTAGTTCCTTTACTAAAACTACAGGGAAAAGTTGTTTGGGGAACATTGAGGATTGTTTCAAAATTGACTGGGGTTCAGTATCAATACCTATATAAACTGAGGTGAATATCTTAACAGGGTAGCCATTTTTCGAGCTGCATTTTAAAGTAAAAATTGTAAACCCATGTATCTCTGGACATGCTCAGCCTGAGTGCTTTGCAAAGCTTAAAATGAATCACAGCTGTGTCTAAATAGAGAACAAAATGGTTTTGGTCATAATGAGTACAGAAACTCTATGGAATAGGCAGAGAGTAACCCAGTAAGATATGTAATGCATGTGATCGTACATACACAGTAGTAGGAGCTCATTGATCGAAAAAGAGAGTCTATAATATGGGTTACAGGGTTTACATGTCACTATTAAATCTAAGCTTCCTGGAACCCCAGTGAAACTCATTAACTGTCTAATGTTGATAATGCAAAGCTGCTTTGTAAAGGATAGCGATGTCCCATCAACTATAGTGAATTCTTTAACATAGTCATTCAAGTTAAAATTGCGCTTACAGAATTCATTTTAATGACAAGAGATAAGCAGCAGTGTCGTACTCCTAGACAGGGTTTTATAAACAACACGATGGTGCATTTATTAAAGAACACTATGACCAGACTCAGACAAGAAGTGAAGTAGAACTGTATACCTTTTCCGTAGGACTATGTGAAATTCAGAGCTCCGCAAGCTGGTAATGGATACGTAAGGCAGCTCAAAGTCCTGCAGCTTCCGAACAACTAAGGGGGACGGAGGAGAAAGAGAAAGAAAAAAAATGTAGGACTGGAACAAACAGATCAATTATATCACGCAAAAATAAACTCTGTACAGCCAATGGAAGTCATTAAAAGATGTTGTAAGTTAGAAAACTCCAGGTTACAGATACATCCTGAAACTTACAGGTTAAACTTCCATCCACATCTTCACGGACCAAGAAGAGACTGAAATACCCAACAAGATCTTCTGGGAGATCCAGTTTTGTTGCAACAGCCTGCAGAAGGATTATAAAAATAAAAAGAATTGTTTTACGGTGATAATTGAAATTACTGGTTTCTTTTATTTGAATATGATTTTTCAGTCAAGTATGGGAGACTATTGACAAAAAATATAACAGTGTTCAAAATGTTCAAGTCTTGAAAAAACGCAAAGTCTGTCAAGTCTGTTCTTTATAATGAATGAAATAATACAGAGAAACTTTTTGACTGAAGAATAGCGCTGCGGATGTGAGCAGAGGTTAACTGTGGTTAAAGCTTTATAGAAGCACGAATGAAGCCAAGATCAATAACACACATCATGACCAAACTCCAGAAAGTTTACTCTAATGTTTCAGTCATGTCTCTCTGAGGGTCAGTGACGAAGCAAAGCAGATTTACCAAGAAAATGGTCCCAATCATGATCTGATGCAGACTGCAAAAAAGGCTTATTATTCAATAAAGAAGTGGATCATTTTATGTATTGATTATGTTTTTTTACATCTCCAGCTTAGCACTTGTGATATTTTTCTTCCATGTCATCTTTTTTCTTGTCTATTTTTGTCATTTGTGGTTTTGTTTAGTTAGATAAAAGTAGACAAAAAAGATGTATTTTTTGTGTGACAAAAATCCTGGGTATCAGATGTGAAATTTATCTTAGGAAGAATTTTTTTCTCTCTGTAATGGGCTTTATCATATAACTGACTTTTTTTACAGTGATTTCTCTGCCAATAATTACCAAATGTTTACAGTGACAGTGCTCTCAGGAACCTACATCAAGGACATCCTCTGTCTGATCTGAGGTCAGAATGTTGACTGTAACTTTCTGGCCGTTAGAGAGGCAGATGTCTAAAACAACCTCTTCTGTTGGAATCTGCTGGGTCTCCTGGGAACAACACACAAAGAACAGTCTTTTAATTCTGCATCATGCCAAATTTAGTCTTCATTCACTTGACACAATAATACAAAAGGATGAAGATAATATGGTCTGGATACACAATACTAGTGAGGATTCATTCAAATAAAAAGGCACAAAGGCAACCCTTTCACTGTTAATATTTGACCATTATAACAGAAAAGGTTAGAAGAAGCCAAAGAGCTGCACTTTAGTCAACTGGAAATGCTCTAAAACCATTACACATCAGAAACAACTTTATTTAGCAAGTATAAAACAAACACAGCTAGTGACAGTAAACTAAAAGCAAATAGGCGTCAAACCTCAAAGCAGCATTTAAAATTCAAGCATGACGGGAATTTCCACAATCAAAAGAATCTTAGATAGTGATCATAAAACCAATAAATAGTCCCATTTGAGGGTTGGTTCAACACAGTCTTGCTTTTCAAAACCAGCTGGAGTTTAATCTGCAACTATAACCACTATACATATTTTTCAGGTGCTTGTCCATTTATTTATCAGCTCCCACAAACACAGAAATAAAAAAAAAACTACTACTTCCGCCTTTCAGTTTAAAGCAGATGTGCTTTAGTTGATTCTTTGTCTGAAATAAGGAATGCAATTGGACATAAATCAATTGTTAAAATGAACAATAAATACATAAAACCCAGACAACAAATTCAGAACTGCTCTAAACAAACACGAAGCGGATAACTCCTGCTTCTCCTGTCACAGGCAACCCCCCCCTGTTTTAAAAGTCTCATCCACCCTGTTATCTCAGCCAGAATTCTCAAGAAGCGCAACTCCTATAAAAGTATAGATGCGGGCCTTCCCGTGGGTGGCAAGTCATCTCCTATTCTGCACCGGCAGTGCTCACAGTAGGTTCAAGAGGGTACACACACACACAAAATCACACAGATGTGCAATTGTGAGGAGAGGCAGGCAGAATGGGTGTGAGGTGGCTGTAGATGGAGGAATTGTTCTGTGAAAGTGATTTAAAGCCCCCCTACGATGCAGGTCACACCCTGACTAATAAATCAAGATTGTAACCCAATAAACCATAAAACAAAACCTCCACTTGACATAAGTTTGTGTTCTTACGTCACCTTCCCTGTATAGGACGTCAGTAAGGATCATCCTTCGCCTTATACATATTTCTTATTTGCATAATGGCCAAAAAGGATCCAGCTGCCTGGGAGACACACACACACCATGCAACTCTCTTGATAAATCTGTCTGGATGTAGCTTTCCTTGCAGTGTATGTTCAACATAATCAAGTTAAACTTAATCAGACAAGAATAGTGTTGATAGAAATTGTGATAAACAATAAGAGGGCTGCCACGTCACTACTCTGCTGCAATGCAAAAAGTAATTCCCAGTCAAGCTGGAAGAACTGCCTCAGCAGTATGCTTAAAGGAGCCATCAACACCTCCTCAACTGTTGGTCAGGTTAACGCAATAAAAAGAGACAGACTAAAAAACGTAACACAAATGTTTAAAAAACACCACCAACCTGCTGTGCTTTCCTTAAGAAGCTGTTGAACATCTCACTGGTTCCAAGCAAAGGATGCTGACGGACTGTAAGACAAGAGTGTGACAGCAAACAAAAATCTGAGTGCTAAAATCCACTTTATCTTGCCATTCTGTGGACCAACAGCATCAGCAGAATTCAGATGTTTTAAGTGGTACTGATTACTCAGCAATGAGTAAGGAGGCTTTTTGAGGATGTGCTATTGACACAGCTTCTTTAGGTGGAGCCACTTCCCATTTCTGCCTCTTATCATATTTACTAATTAAGTGCTTGTGAAGTGTGTTTGACCTTCTAGGTCTTGCTGACTTGTTGTCTGGAATAGAGTCAAGAAGTGAATTGAATTGTTTACTTGATATGCTTGTTTGATACAGTATGAATAAGTGTGTGTCGGTCAGCTTGTATTCTGCTGCCCTTTACAAGTTGGTGTATGTGACAAAATGTGAAGGTTCTGAGCCATCTGCAGGCCATCGGAGCAGATTGTGTGTTGTGGCGGCTGTTTCCATAACCATATAAAAAGCCATGATGTAACCAAGTGAACAGCCAAGAACACCCTGTGTGTGTATGCTCCCAGACTAAGAGCAAACACACACTCAAACAACGCCTCCTTGTTCTGCTTTAGCTGCTGGTGCTTGAGAGGACTGAAACAAACGTTCTGCTTTTCTGGCAGTTACATCTCATTTCTGTTTGCTATTAGTTCATCGTTAACCTGTTTACAGAATTTGAAGATTATGCTTTAAACCACACAAACTGTGAAATGCAGTTAGGCTGCTAGATTTTGAACGTGACATTAGTACAGAGAACAGCATAAGAAGCATCTTTGGAGGCAAGTCTAACTTGTACTGAATAACTTACCAGCCTGCATGTATTTCTCAAGCTGTTCTCGCCTCTGTTCAACCTCAGCAGGGGTCAGCGTGAAGATCTTCTTTGGGGGGAAAGCAGGCACCACATTGCTGCCATACTCTTTTTTGATCTGTTGGTGCAAAACAGGTTGTTAGGCTCTGACTGAACAGAAGAATTGCTAAGTATACTCCTCCTTTCCACCACAAACAAAGTTTCTGATCTGAGATGTTTACTGAAATAATATTCATAAAGACTCATAAAATCATCAAATCCATACATGGTTTGACTGGAGTTCTAAGTCTCATTCTCTTTAATTAAAGAGTTGAGGATTCATTTTTCAAAGAAGTACATTCTGTCTGTTTGAGATGAATCGCAGTTTCATTTTAAACTCTGTTGCAGTGACTAGCTAGTGAAGTTTCCGTGCATACCACACACACATCTGGAAGCATGAATGTCTGTTCATTCCAAGTTTACTTTGTCTTCCAGCTTCTTGACTCATTTCTTTCCATTTTCTATCATCAGCTGCTGCTTTGAACTGTGGAAGTCTTAAACTAAGACCTCACAAATAAAGAATTGCACATAAAACGGAATTTCATTTTTAGCTGTGTGTTGCTTCAGACAGAAGTACACTGTGCTCATTAGATTTTGTGCTGGCAACCCCCCCCAAAAAAATACATATATATGTTCCTTCCAATGTACAGTGGGATGATAGCAGACCACAGTGCCTGTTAAGAGGAAGAAAAGTATACTGCCCTTTGGTATTTATTTCAACACAGGCAGCACTTGGTAGACATATAAATCAGCTTTCATAGCCGCAGCCACTGAGCACCGGTTACACATTCAAATTCCTCTAAATCTGACATAAATGTGAGCTCTTGCGACTCGATTTCAGCAGAACTTGCCCAGTTTTTGGTGTTGACTTTAAATAGCCTCTAGCAGAGGCTAGCATAGGTGTGGCTAGGTTGCAAATGTTTTCATGAGAGAGAACCGGAGAAACAATTAATGTGCACATTCCCTCAGCAGTAAGAGGGCAGTCCGTGCTCCACAATCACTTGAGTGTTTTGGGGTCATGCCTGCATCACACGAGGCCCTTTGCGGTTGATTCTCAAAGATTTGAATATGTCTCTCCCACACACTGTTGCCAGGCAACGGCAGCTGTCAGGGTGGATAGCACTACTTGAGGATAAAAATTGCAAAATTTAGCCCATGCCTGCTTATCTATTGAGAGACAAAGATAAAAACAGGGCATTTTAGTTTGTATTATATGCCGATAAACATTTCACAGTAAAAACATCTTAAGGGAAAAACCTTGTCTATATCTTGCCAAAAAGCAAAAACAAACAAAAAACTGCTATAAGAGAATGTTTATTTTATTTAATTGAGTACCAGAGGTGCTTTATTGTGGTTTAATTTCCAACCACAGCACAGCAGAAAAAATGCAAATGCTGACAACACTAACTGACTAATAATAGCTCTAAAAACAAAACAGCCCTGGCTCTGTAAACCCTCACTCAGGCCAAGACCAAAAAAAACAAAAAAACCCACTGAGGACCAGGGAATTCAACACTTTCCGACAACATTTTGTCTCCAGATTAAGTTTCCCAGCAGGTAAAGCGAACAAGGGCCAAGAACATTCCTTCCCTGTCAACCACCCTCTCTAACCTCCTCCAAAACTGCCATTTTCTCAGCAAAGGTTTTCCAGGAGGAAAAAAAAGGACTTCAAGCCATGAGGGTCGTGATTTAAAGTGATAGGAGGCTGGCGTATGGATCGTCAGACACAAAGAGGCATGAGAGGTCCCACTGCGAGGAGGTGGTGGCATTTATCCAACATTCAGAGGCACAAATACTTTTGTGCTTTGGTGTACATTGACAGTGCACTGGGTTTATTATGCTGTCTGAAGGCTCACCTGTTCATGGAGGCCCAGAAGTTGACTGTAGCGGACCCGACAGTGCAGCACCCCGTTCACATGGATGTTGTAGGCCTGCAGTTCAAAGGGAATGAAAATAAAAATGTGAGAGGGGTAGTGTGAAGGCCTGGAATACTGCAGGGAGTAAATATTAGACAGGTGCACTGCTTCTTTTACAGCCACAAGTTTGTTTTCATACTGTACAAAATGCATCAAACTGAAGCAGGGGAATCTTTTAGTAGGTTTTCTCCTCACAACTCTTTGCTTAAGTGTCAGTAATATTCCACAAGCTTACGACGGGCCAAACGGAACCTGCTGAACATTCTGAAGTCAAACCAGTTTCTCCCTGTATCAAGAGCAAAAATCCTCCCTGTGAGAAGCCCTGCCTTTCCAAAAGACATACCACAAAACCACCCCTTGGAATCAGCAACCCCAAAAATCTGTTTGCACTTAGGTTAGAGAAAGATGCAGAAAACAAAGCCATTTTTCATGTAAAACGTTTCATTTCATTTGAAAGTAAATCAAGGGTAAAAAAGCAAGAAAAAGAAGTAGAGCATGCTCAAAAGCATGCTCTACTGAGAAAGAAAACCTCTGAAAAAAAAAAAACTAAACACTGCAGGAAAACATTCTAGTTATTTACATTCCATTTAGATTCTGACAAAATAAATAAGTTTGCTCCTTTTTTTGCCAACAGATCGCTGCTCCTCTGGCCAGTCTGTGTACAGCTCTTGCCAGAAGCTCTAGCTGAGGAGATTTCCCCTTTGGATATCAAGGCACTAACCCCTTCCTTCCCCTTCAGTCTCTATTAATATTTATAGTCAACATGGTAGGTCACCTGTCCAAATAAAAGATCCTGAGAACTTTTGACAGCAGGATGGATACATGCATATTTGCAAGCAGTTGTTCTTTTTGTTAAAACCTGCAAACAACCAATAAAAAGTCAGTAAAACTAACTGCAGAAACTGTCTAAACTGAAAAAAAGGCTGGAAAGGTTGGAAGAAGGCCAACAAATTCTCTAAAAAACAGTATGTCTGCAGTATTCTGGCAGGAAGGAAGAATGAGTGTGCAAGATGTTTTGGCTTCTTGATGACTTGGAAAAGTATCCAACATTTCTTTATGAATCGTGAGGCAGTCAAACTCTGGGGAAGTTCAAAGGGCAGCGCGTGTTTCTCTGCAGCTCAACAGTGATCCTAAAAACTAATTAAAAACCACACCTTTTCATCTCTGGTCTCTATCACACCAAAATATTGATATCCAGCTAGAAATTAAATGTCAAACAGATTTTTTTGCTGTGAAGTCGATCCAAGCAGGATCAAAACACTGTCTTCAGATTTTCTAAGACACTGTCAGTGTGCAGTTGTATACATTTTTTTAAATCTCTTTTGGCCCTCGTCCTTGTGCGGCCTTATTTGTAGCTTGGTAATATCTTCTTAAGTTAGGTGTGAAAGGACTCTTCATTATGCGTCTATGTTTGCTATGCTTGACTCACTGGTTGATGACGGCCAAGGCAGGCATACTCATGTTTTCAGAACCCTTAAAAAAGATAGAGATGGACTCTAAGTCAGAACATGTTCTTGGTCTTGAATAAATGAGTCACCATCTCTCGCCATCTATTCCCTTTTTTTTTAATAAACACACCCACAAACACTATTAGACATACGGTAAAAACTGTGAAAGATAGAAGAAAGTACAAGTCAATCTAAAAAAACAGGAAGTGTGAAAAGAAAGTCAGCGCTTGTTCAGGGACATTGACTTAACAGAAAAAAGAAATCATCACATGTGATTATAAAAAGCCTGGTGCAAACTCTGCAGATTCTGTGGCCAACTGGTTCCAAGGTACAGAACCCCGTCTCTCATTATAATCGAGTTAAGTCTTTCCTGTAGCCACGTGCTGTCACAATGACAGCTGCTGAGAGGTGATCACCTTCTGTGGAGCAAGTTCAAAACGTTCCTCCCAAAAGGTAAAAACAAGCCAGGGCTGTTAGGCCGAAATGGTCTATTCAATGGATATTTGCCCCTTTTCGTGCAGCAGAAACAGTGAGGACAAATACGGAAAATAATTGCAAGATTTTCCAGTTTTCCCTTCCTCTTTGGAACACATGGAGTCAATGTGGAAAATGTGCAGGTGTGTGATATGGACAGCAGCCAGTGTCACATGGAAAGCAGATGCTGCAGCTGTCATTTTAAGCATCTGGAATACATACTGAAAAGTAAACGATAACATGCAAGATCGAAAGGCAAAAATGCAGAGACAGGCCCCTTGTGCTGCCTGCAAAAAGAAAAAAGGCACAACCAGAAGTTTAAAAGACCTTTAAATAATCAACTAATCATAACCACAAGGTTCCTGAATGAGTTACTGCAGCATTGTTTGGTTGGATGATTGAAGGAACAAGGACATTTGTTTTTCAAGCAAATGCTACACTTGACCAAAACTCATGAAAAATACCCTCTGACTGCTGTGACCCCAGCCTGACATTGATTATGATCTGAAAAAAATAGTGTCGACCGATATAAAAGCCTGGAGCCGTTCAAGAAGATTACGCGTTGGTGCCAGTGAGACAAGGGAACACAATGCTTAGTATTGTCACTCAAACACAATGGCAAGTCCTAGAACGTTAGAAGTAGACATTATTTAAAAGACAATATAAAAGGGCAAAAAATGGAAGATAATAAGCACACAGGCTATGTGATCACGGTGGCCAAGCAGGCGATAACTGCCGCTCTTGAGGTCGGCCCTGCTGCTTCACTTTTGACTTGGATATCCAAGAGCTTCTTATGAGTGTAAGCCAGAGCAATGCTGGCTGTGTTTTTCTCTAAATAACAAGGTGGATTTCAGCACCATCGTGCCAAACCTCAAATCTCGGTAAGAATTTTTTGCAGTGACCCAAAACTTTAAAACAAAAGGGACTCTGTTGTTGAAATTGAGAGAACCAACAGGGAGGATCACTTAAGTTTCTTGTTGGGATTGTGAATGACTCCATGCTAAACTAATGAGGGCCCCGGGGTGATACTTTCACCATCCACATTATGACGTTCAAGGTTAAAAAATACAAGCAGGATACAACTCACTTTTTTTTTCGAATTGTGTTTCTAAATAGATATGCTATTGAGAGAGGTGATGCATTAGGCCTTGTGGTGGTTGGTTATGTGATCTCTGAACACTGACACCTCAGCTGCGTTGACGTTGGCTAACTAACTAACCTGTGACCAGCTCAAACACCAACAACACTTGACGCATGAAAACAAAATATGAAATACACTCACCACATAGGTTGAACCGTTCTCCCCCGAACGAACCTCCGTTTCAGGTATTGAAAAATGCATTTTAGGTCGACAATACAGCCTGTGGTCAGTCAAAAAGTCCGTACACGCCACCACCGGAGCTTGTTGAGAGCAAGACACCACAGTTCTCCCAGAAAGTCCACTGCAGTGAGCGGAGGAGGAGGAGGAGGCAGCTCTGACACGGTTCCTCCACTGGTTTGTGGATCCGGAGAGAGATGTGCCAGACCAGGGGCGACTGCTTAGGACTTTACTACGCGAACAACGGCTCTTTCACTAACTCCAATCCGCAGCAAACTTCTCCCACGTCAGTGTTAAACTTTTCTGTCTGCTGTTCCCGCAGCAGCCATGTTGCAAGTGTTAAGTAATTCCCTCTAAACTGTTGGTGTTAAAATATCCTTTACACTCAGTCCACCTAATTCAGAAAAAGTCACGGCCACTTACTGTTGCGAAACGAGGTGAAAGTAATTCAGTTTAGTACCGCAACCAAATGAAGTTTCTGGATAAAAGGTGCAGCAGGCTCCTGCAATTCCCAGAGCGTCGCAAAACCGTTGGTGAAGCTTTCGGAATGTGTGAGTGGACAGTTGCACTTGAAATGATTTTGTTTGCTTTTCCAGTCCTCTACATTTTCTGAAAGAAAGTCAACGCAGCGACGGAGGCTATACGTTTTTTAGATGTGGTCCATATCGCTGAAATTGTAGACGTCTCACGGCTGCCTTGCCGTTCTGAGTTCCGCCTGTACACCAACTGGCCCATCAAGAGGAGTGGGAACAATCCTGACGGGCTGAACCATTCTACAAACATATTGGGTGTGTCTTGTTTTTACACGCGAGGCACCTGCTGAGATTTGTGGAGCCACGTTTGAGAACTTCGAGGCATTTTCATTTTAATTCGGAACAACATTATTTAAAAATATTTCCAAATAAACCATACGCACGCCCCCCTCTGAACTTGAAATTAAGCTAAAGCATCTAAAACAAAGACCACACTTTATTTGGTAGACTCCACAGTGACAGTGGACGCACAGTCAGCATTAATTACTGTACAAATATTGTATAGATTTTAAGGAAATATAACAAATGTACCTATTGTTAACTCTCTAATTTAAGATGGCCGCCTTTGCCTTCCATTTTATTTTAGAAAATAGCAAGAAAGTAATAAATCCTAAAACATGGGCTGCCAAGTAAAATGAACAAATAAATAAATACATACTTGTGTTGGATTTTTTTCTTTTATCAGCACTGATCAATTTAACATTCTCGCTTTAAGTAATCATATACATACCATATATTTCATCCTGTTAAAAATAAAAACGGGTCATAAATTGTGTCTGTATGCGTAAAAGTAGCGCAATATCATTGGGCATCGCTTCCTGTCACATGTTGCCTTCAGGAAGATCATATGACTTCAGTCGATGAAAATGAAAACTGTATGCTGCTGGCTAGAAAATTTGCTGTTCATTTTGACTTTTAAAGTGTGTTTTAACAAATGTTTTCAACTGACTGAGCTGCAGGTAAGAATGTAAATAAATCATGCAACAGACTGGTCTTTGATAGGAGAAGAGAAGGCATACACATCCTTAAAACCAGATGAACTGATGCACAGTCGCTGGTGGAGGACGGCCATTTTTGTTGTTTACCAACAGCCTTTCTTTGGTATGAAATATACCAGCAGGTATGTACGCTCTGTGCTGGGACGACCCTCAACAGCACGCCGGTGGGGAGGTTTTGCTCTTCTTCCGCTGGACGGATAGACGGCCGGTGCTGTTTGAGGAATAACAGCACAGAAGACCCTGAAGACGTCATCGGGTAGGACTTCAATGCTGCTTTCAAAGCGTGTCAGAAAATAGACACTGCATTTGAACAGGGATATTTTAAAATGAAAACCGTTTTATTCGTTCAGTCAAATAAACAAAATAACTAAACAGCAAATAATTCATTGCAGAAACTCAACTCACACGTTTGAAAGAACACCTTTAGATGTATCTTATGTTGTGATACTGTATTGTTTTATACCTCACAAGTTGTTTTTATGAACATGAAAACCTTATCTTGATTTCTGGCATAGATCTGATAAGTAATGTTGGTAAATGAAAGTTTCCAAAACTTTTAGGAATCACTCAGAGCACACAAACGTGCCTGAACAGTGCCTACATTCTAATCTTTGACCTTATTCAAAAGGCATCATGAGTGAGGCTGTTTGGGAAGAGTATCTATCCTGCATGAACATAGTTTTTCTGTCTCGACATTATTTTTGTTTGCCAGGTTGGATCTGTCCAATTGCTCGCTAAGTCATATCGATGACCTTCACGGTGCATACACAGTGTTGATGATGTAAGTAGACCATGTATTGCAGTGTTGTGATTCTGCTCTTATTTTTTTATTCTAAAACAATCAGAAAACCAACATCTTGTGTGCATGTATCTCTTAGAAATATGTAAACATTGATAAGAGCATTCTTGAGAAGTAAAAAAAGTGGGCACTTTCTATCCATAAGACACGGCAGCTATAATCGTAGCTCCTCAAAGGACCTAATCTTTAACTCTTCTTAGAAAGAAATGTAACTCTACCATTTCTGTTAATTTAATTCTTATTTTTGTATAATTTCTGTTCTAATTTGTTTTTGTAAATATTCATATTGCAGAGACCTCTCATTCAATCCCATTGTCAACATCAGTGACACAGCTTTTCAAGGATTTCGTGACCTGAATTACATGTAATTAACCTCCTACAAAGTTCATCCACATTCTGATTGAATCTAATCTTTTTTATCAGCCCCCCCAACACCAATCAATCTCAATGTGTTTTAGGATTTTACCGCAAGATATCGTGTGCCCTGGGGGGAATGCTTCTTGGCAAAAAGTGGAAGTCACAGAGGGAAAGCGTCTTTGTGAAGGCCAAAAAAACATGTGCAACCAAAGCAGACAGCTGTGTGAGTCCCCGTCTGATGTATGTACTGTTTTATATCTAATCTGAAACATCACAAGATAAACTCTCCTTTTCATGCTTGGGCTCTATCAACAATTACTGGGACTCCACAGCCATAAACTGCCCGGAAAATTCCCTCTGCGCTCCCTTTGGCCCTGGTTTGGTCGAGTGCAGCTGTGCAGAGAACTACCACGGATACAAGTGTCTGCGAGAGGTCGGTTCTGAAAGCAGCTTTTTTCTATTATCTGTTTTTGTTTTTCTTTTGTCAATATCTGTTTTCATGGCTAAGTTGTAACACTGACAGCTGATATTTTTGGAGTAACCCTAACCCTGTGCACAGGGGGACTTTCCAACTATTCAGGTGTTTGGGCCTCTGGCTGCATCCACAGTCGTGATCTCCATCCTGTTGTGGGTCACAGAGAGACGCAAGGCCAAATCTATCTGAGGCCGACTGCTTTTAAACTGACTGGAGCAGACGTTCTTCCAAAGGGACTATACTGACAGGGCCGGGGGCGACCCCGCTCTTCTTATTAGATATTTTATGCATGTTACACTTTTTGAAAGGCAGCTGCATCTTACTGAAGGGAACTTTTAAAAACTGACTTTACAATATCGCTTACTTTTTAAAAGAACATTTTAATAATTGCTTCAATTTTAAAACATGTCCCCGTGTTTTAACTGTTAACATTTAATTTCTGTTTCTAAGTGTAGCTGACTGACGGCATAATAGTGAACACTGTTGGTAACTGTGCCAAATACGAACTGAATGTGTGTGAGTTTACAGAAATGCTGTGCTTATGTTCTGAAAACCGCTGCAGAGCACTTGCATGTCAAACGTGCTTGGTTTTTCAGAAAAAGCACCTTTTAATCCTAATGGAAACCACAAAAACTGCAACTTTAACTGAGGGTTAATGCTGAATTACAACACTTTAACACTTTTATTTTGGCGTGGGATATAGTTTAACTGCTGTACACAGTTATTGTGTTGCTATGTAATCCAGGGATGCGTGGAAGAAAATATTGAATGCAGAAATGCACCTTTTTTGTGGAATAATTGTGTTACTTCAATCACAAGTTGCTTTGGTACTTTGTCACAATGACTTTTAGGGATCCAATAAAAGTTTGAAGATTTGATGTTTCATTAATAGAACAGTTATTAGCAATAACAGTGAGCCATTAATTTGCCCCCCAGAGGTCTAAGCTCTAGTTTTAATTTCTGAACATTTCATGGAGAATTGACATTAATATGATGTGGTTTTGAAGTGTCTTTTAGAAAGATTTAAAAACAACAGAAACGCAAATGTCCACCCAAAAAAAAGGAAAGCCTATGCCATTTCAGATATACATTTATTGCATGCTAAAAGCACGATAGTGTGTGTTGTGTGCGAGCTTTCATGCACACAGTTAGCTGTAGGCTGTTTTACTGGTCCACATTTTTGACTCGCAGCACCACAGGGACCGAGGTGCATGGGATCATTCCAAGTTCTGTGATGACTAGGTCCACAAAATCCGGCGGCGTCACGTCGTACACTAAGTTAAGCAGGCCTAGCGAGGGCACTTGCTGCCAGTCCTCCAGCTGGGTCTTACCTTTTCTGGTCACAATGAGGTCGTCTGGGTCGTCTGAAAAAAAGAATGACGAACAGAACTAGTTAGCCAAGCGGAATATGATCTGAGGGATTCAGATAACGAAATCTTGAATAGAAATGTTCATACCGAGTTCATTGGAAACAAAAGAGTCCGTCTGCACCCTCTCACAGAACTTGTAAGTCTCACAACACACCAGAACAGGCACATTAAAGGCTTTGGCCACCAGAGCTATCTGTGATGTCCCCACTCGAGACATGACGTAACCATTGGCCAGGAGAGCATGAGCACCAAGGAATACTTTAGACACCTAAAAAAAAAAAAGACGAAGAAGAGACGAATAGTGCTCAATCCTCTGTTACTCCTCTCCGGTCTGTCCGCTACGGCTTCGTGGTTACCTCTGGAAGGATGTAGGAGACAGCTGAGATGAGAACGTAGGTGCAGCTGATGCGTCCCTGCACCAGGCGTCTCAGGGCCTCCCGGCCTTCTAGCCGGGGCCTGCTGTCCACCACTATAACGCGGAACTTCCTGCCTTTGTCAAAGGCTTTGCACAGGATGTGGTTAACTAGTGAGGAGCTGAAAGAGTACACAGATGCAGAACATGTTAAATGAGGAAATGTATGGGCAAAGTGTGGAAGGAAAGAGACTTAGAGGCAACAAAAAAAAAAAACAGGGAAGAGAAAGTATCCAAAAAAAGAAAGCTTCTGAACATTCTAGTTTAACACAAACAATTACGCAATGCTCAGCAGAGACAAGAGTTTCAACTACTTCATTTAAGCACTTTCAGAGCTCAGCTTACCATCCATACACTAAGATGACATCTCCATCGCTGATCTTTTCTATGGAGTACTCAGCTATAGCTGTAGCAGCAAGAATGATCTTCTCTTTAATGTACCACTCGATACAGTCGAGCAGCTTTGTCTTTGCCTACAAAGTTAGGACAAAATGTTATGAAAGTGTCGTAAATCTGCCTTTTGTTAGTGGGTGATGCCATTCTGGTGAAATGAATGTTTTTCTTTAAGAGTAACACAAACCTCCTCTTCCTTGCACTGACTGGGAATATTAGAGATCTCTTTCTTGATATATTTGATTGCGTTTCCCATGCTGGCTGATAGAGGGCGACACTGATTTAAAAAACTGTAAAGAAAAACATGACAGATAGAAAAAAACATTATCCATTAAGTAACAAATCACTTCCTGGTTGAAATTCATTGACACACCTGGAATCTTTATTTTTTATTTATTACCTGATATATGGTTTCAGTTTGTTGACCAAGTCTCTTGACAATTCCTCATTTGGAGGCGTGGAATAGTCCCTTATCACCTGAGAAAATGAATTAAAGAAGCATATTTCAACAGTCTTTCTGGTGAATGTTGCAAACAGCCCATTTTTGAGTGCAACAGGACAGTGTTTAATGGGTATTCAGTCCTGCATCAATTGGATCCAGAAATAAAGAACAGCTGGGAATGAAACACCCACAACCTTTAAAGGGACACTGCTCTGATCTCGTACTTTAAGAAAAAAAAAATCAGTATTCCATCCAGATCTATGAGACAGTACCTGTCTGAAGGCATGCAGCAGAGCAACCGAGCGAGCGTTCGACCCTGCCATGATGCCCTGTGAATACTGGAGGCCGAGCTGGACGACAGCAGGATGAATCACCGTGGAAGGAATGCTGCAACACCAGCGAGATGCAACAACGAAAATGAAGGCCAACTCCAAGCGATTAAGTCTAAATTGCTTTGTTTGGAAGGCAGTCGCTTTACCTGAGCTGCTGAGTCAAAGGGGCTTTTCGACTGTACTGATGGAGATGAGAAAACAGGCTGACCTTATAGCCGTAGTCTAAGCGCAGCGGGATCTAAAAAAACAAACACAGAAGTTCAAAGGTTAAGACTAAGATGCCCACAAAGAGCCACAACATGGCCTGGAAACCAAAGTCAGACACTACAAACAACTAAATTTGCCACACCTTTACATGTTTTATTTTTCTAGATCTACACACACACGCATGAAAAACAAGCAGCAAAAAAAAGAAAACCTAACGGACTGGACCAAAGCAGGACAAAAACTTTACATCCCTCTAAATAACTCAGTATAAAAGTGACGCCTAAACATAAATGGTCAGCAACAAACTGGAGCAAATAAAAAAAGTTATCAGCACACATTCTGTGAAGCCCAGCCTCCTTTAGCTTATACCTTCTTATCAGCACTGTGAGCTGGTGTCTGAAAGAGATGTTTGGAACAATCACATGCTCATCTAGTGATAACAGGGTTTAATTTGTCCTTGCTTTCACTGTAAAAGGGCGGTGATGGCTTTTTTACTTTGATTATCTTCGAGACGTCTATAAATTATATCTATTGAGTCCAACCTGTTGCCTTTCCAGCTTCTTGGCCAGCTTCTTTAAAACGTCTGGGTTGTCCACTTGAATGTGTTCTGGGAGCCTCTTCACAACTGGAAATAAACAGAAAGTGATTTTACCCACAGCAATCTAGAGAACAGACACTTGAAGACCACTGATACCCAATTTGTTTCTGGTCTTTCTGCCAAAGCAGCTCAAACACCCAAAAGTGCTTTGGGGCCTGAAGGATCCGCATCCTTCTAAATGCTGTCTACTGACTCTTACTAGACTGATTATCCAAGTTAAGTTTGTGACTACTTATTAATTATACAAATATTACTAAGTATTCCTCTCCTCAATTATTTGTGACTTCATCACATATGCGTTTTCACTGCACTGTCATCATCGACAGAGAAATCCTTGCAGGTGTGACGGTACCTGGCTGCAGATCGTTGGGCGGTGCTTTCTGTTTGCCTGTGGCAGACTGCTGTCCAGGCTCCCCTTTTTTGCCCTGCTTGCTGGCTCTCTCAGCCTCTTGCCGGGCTCTCCTTTCAGCTTTCAGCTCAGCTTTACTCTTGGTGGGCTTGTCTGGGGCGACAGGTGCCTCCGACGTAGGCACGGAAACTGTGGCAGGAGGAGGCACTGCTGGAGGAGCTGAAAAACACAACCATCACACACAGATGTTGGAGTCAAAACATCACCACAGAGACAGATACAAACCTCTGATGTCATCAAGGGAAATGTGCTTGGATTCGATATCCATCACATAGCAAACTGACATAAAGTGTGACATTATGCTTAAACCCTTCCAGTGAGCAAATAACACAAACCATTCTGTGTTGTGGATTGTGCTGGAGGCGGGGATGCTACAGCAGCTGAACTGACAGGCTTCTTATCCTTCTCACTTTCCTGTGCAGCCTTGTCATCTCTCTTCTCTTTGTTTTTTTTCTGCTGTTTCTTCTCTTTCCTCAGCCGCTGCTTCTCCTCTTTGGTCATCTCTTTGCCTTCATTCTGTTGAGTTACATCACGTGAAGCACAACAAAAATCAAATGAGTGGACGCTCAGCCTTATGGAAGATCATAGCACATATTAGGAAATCAAAATCTAACCTTTGCACGTCCAATATCCTCTTTCATCTCAGGTCCATCTGCAAAATGAGCAGAATATGAATATATCTGACGAAACATGTGAGAACAGGACGAGCCAACAGTGAGTATTTCAGCTTATGTTTACACCCATTAAGTTGCCACTTTCATGTTAACACCACTCACAAAACCGCTTTGTTTAAACCTTATCCAAAGCTCCATCACACCATAAAATACGGCTATCAAAACACTCAATTTATTCCAAAACATCACTTAAAATGATGCAATGCCATCGTGTGCCGTGAGTCTATACTGTCTATGCTAACGTCAGCGGTAGTAGCAGCTGGAAATTACGGCTGCTTCGAGCTTAAACTAATACCGCTAAGGGGAAAAAAACTACAAGTAGAATGTCATCCTTTGTCGCGCCAAGTGAAAAGAAAGAAAAATGCTTAGAAAATGATATAAAGCCTAACTGTTACACACTCAGAAACTCACCTGTCACTCCACTGTCAGCCATCTTTACGATGCCGCTCCACTTCCTCCGTCGCTGCAGGAACTACCATCAGCAAAAACTCACACCACCCCCTGGTGGACAAAGAGTGAAGTGCAGTCACAGCCGCCAAAAGCCGTCAGGATTCTTTTCACGCTGTAAGAGTGTATGGACAGCCTGCGACGCAGTTGTGTACATTAAAATAGAATAAAAATAATTCAGTCAAATACTTTAAAAAGTGTATAGTTATTTTTTTAGAATTTCATCTCTATTGAACTTTTGTTTAATGCACCTAAAAAGTGTTTAGTTTTGTCAGGACTTTTTTTAAGCTTACTTTTCCCAATAACTTGTTCATTGTTTGCAAGGAAAATAACCTGCATTTCTTAGAAATTAATTCACAGGTTGTATAAATTATGCTATAAATGCAAATCTGTCAAGGAAATGTAAAGCATTGTCAGAAAATGGTAAAGTACAAACCATACATGCATCTGTCGGGTCACGGGGGCAACAGCCCAAGCATGGAAGCCTCTCTATATGGGCTTAGTGACAAAATACCCTGCAATCCAACTTGTGTGAAAAGTCACAACTTCAAGTGAACTACATTCCACCAGTTCTAGCAATATCACGTATTTTATATTTTAAATATTTGCTGATTTCTTTTTAGTGTGAGAATTTCTCTACTCATGAACTAACGGAATCAATGTATTTTAACAGAACCTTTTACTGTGTTTAGGGATGAGAGTTCCGTTCATTTTTTGTTGTACGTATGTTTTGCATCTACAATTTTTAGAAATAGCTAGGGGACTAGAGCTGTTTTATGTTTAAATAATAAACACTTCAGAAGCACATATTTGGGTGATTGGGCCCTCAGATGGAGCGAAAGTGCCATCGAAGAGTTGCTCTGGCCTGATGGGTATCTAATTGGAGTTATAGCTATCATAAGTTATCATAACTTGGAGGGAAAACTTATTTCTCTATACATAATAGGTGCTATCCATGGTCCTGAATTTTCTGCAACAGGACCCAAAGTTTTCAGTCTGACTAGTTGATGGATGTGTTTTTTTTTCCATTTCTTGGCAATTTTTTCTGTTAACTGAGCTGTCAGCAGTCAAGACTTCCTCTTCTTCAACCTTTCAGACTACATCATTTTACTAAGTCTAATTGACTTATTTTCCGAGGCTTGAGCTGTGGAAAGGTTGTGCATAAAAGGAAATGTGAAGGGAAAACAGTCTGTTCAATTCTAATGAGCATGAAGGTAATATTTTCTTTCTTGATAAAAGTCTGAACCATCTCAGACAAGCTTTCTGATCATTATGCATTCTCCAGGCTTCCTGAAGGATATTGTGAAGATCTTCGAAGGATGTTGGCTGCCTTGTCTGTCAACATGATCCCACACTGCTTCAGTTATACTGAAGTCTGGCTTTTATGCAGAATTCATCTTTCTATAAGACTTTTTGCCACTGATTTTCAGTTTGTTAGCATACCTTAGTCTTTACCCTCTGATGAATGGCTTATTGGCAACCACTGCACCATTTCTGGATGCCTATTTCTTTGTTCTCCTTTTTGTCCAGTATCCTCAAATTTTGCGGACACATTGCGATGCAGGCTGAGCTTAGCCAAGTTGGTAACCAAAAATATAGCATTATGTTTGTCAAACTGTCTTTGGTGTCTTTCGGTGCAGTTTAAAACTTCTTTGTTATGGATAACGTTTAGGACCTTTTAAAGGCTTAACACATATGACTCATGCGCCAAGTTTATTTAAAAAAAATAAAATATATAATGGTTATGAGGACTTCAATGAAAATGAATAATTCAACAATTTCATTGAATAATTTCTTAAAACTGCTTTAAAAGATTACAAGAAAAGTCTGGTTCCTCAGAAGGAAAATGTGATGAAATGAGGGGTGAATCAGGTCTTTTAAGGTAAAGTATTTTTTGCCTCACCAAAGGGAGTCAAAGTATTTGCAGAGATATCAAAGTCAGATGAACCTTTTGAGTTTCTCTTACTTCAAACAGACACAACAAGAAGAATGCGAGGCATAGATATCCACATTCTAGATGGTTAATATTTATTTATTGATTTATTTTACCCTCTGTCTCTGTCACACACACACATACATACACACACAAAGACACACACATGAACAATGGCCCACAGGAAATAACTACTACCTATGACCGAGTGGTAACATTTTTCATCGGGCTACCATCTCTGGATTAAGCAGCGTCACGCCACCATGTCTTGGATACTTTGCTGACAGAATTCACGGCGCAGTAGCTGGTTGAAGGGGACCAAACCTCACTGAAACACCTGACTTGGTTCCGTTTGACCAGCCACAGCAAGGCGTGTAGCTTCAGCTGCACGAGGCCAAACAAGGCAGGCCATGCAGAGGAAGGTATGGGTGAAAGACAGAAAAAAAAGGGAAAGAAGAGAGAGAGGAAGGACACAAAAGGTGGACCTCATATGCTGGCAGGCTGTGGAGTCTTCTTCAAAGCTACCTGATGAAACACACACACATAAAGAAGAACTTTATTAGTGAGTCAGACAGATTGCAACAAAGTGTTGCTGTGTTACCAAGCAGAGAGTTCCTATTTAGAGGTTTGGGAACCTTGACAGCTGGTGACATCTCCCTGCTTCCTTCCAAACCCAGCCTACAGGAGCGAACTTTCACCCCCAGTGACAGCCTCACGTCTCTACCCTCCCTCCCCTCTCCCTTTTTTGAGATCTGCGGTTGCCATAATGGGTGACATCTGTGGTCTGTCAATCCTCCTTGACTGTCAGCAGTTGGGGCAGGGCAGGAATTTTTCAAGAAGTCCCTGAGACCTGATCAGAGGCCCTGGGAGTAATACTAACTGTACACGTGCCCTAGCTGAGGGGAGAGGGAATAGGCCCTTCACCTGTTGTCCTACCACGCACACACACACGCTCATGAAATCTGTCAACCCCCTCCCATCTCATAAAACAGACAAAGACTCACTCAGGCAACAATGATGAATGAAAGTCAAGCTTACAAAGCTTAGAAAAAAATACAGAAATAAAAAAACATATATATATATATCTTCTTTCCATTGTGGTCGATGCTCAAGGCCCCTTGAAACCACACACTTCCTTACATTCCATAAGTGGTGTATTAATATGGGGATATAAGGAAGCATGTCCTCACAAGGGGCAACAACTGGGTTCTCTGCTTCTCTGACACAAAGCACCCTTTCACAGCCACAGATGAAGAGTAGCGGGAACAACTGGCCAAATAATGGTTAACTGTGACAGAGTGGGAGGAAATGGTTTACAGAAACACTCCATGGTGGCTTCCTTCATAGGAGATTCATGACTCATGAAATGAGGGGATTTTAAAATGTTTTTGTCTAATACCCTGACTCCTTTTTAGACTTAGCAAAAAGCAGGATTTCCTAATGATAAAACAAAAATAATGGTGTTTTAGTATGCTGCTAAAGCGCAGGGCACTGCTCTCTGATAAGTAATGCCAACGTGATGATGCTGGACTGGGTTTAAATAACTCTGCAAGGCTTGTCCAACAAACAAAGGTCACAGCCTGTTCTGTTTCTTCATCATCCACCCACACCCAGCTATTTTGACCCAACACATAAAATGTCACATAAAATACTGCTCAATCCAATCCTGTTCAGACTCAGCCCACATGTGTAGTCATTCAGTCAAAACTGAATCGACTGAATTGAAAAAGGTCTTACTCACCTTTACTGAGCTTCGTTTTGGCTCCACTTCGGATAATCTTTCGATGATGTACCCAAGGTTGAGATGGAGGCCAGAGTCTAAACTTTCACAACAAATCTAACTGCTGCTTTGTCAACTAGCTCCAAAGCGAACCGTCACTGGAAACGGCTACCCTGACCAGACTGCGTTCGCTCCCCTGGGGGAACACGTAAGGCACAGAGTTTCCTGATTCTTTCCTGTGTCGCACCTCTGTTTCCCCCTCAGCTGAAGGAGGTGTCGGGCTCTGCCACGTTGTGTAATTTCTTTAATAAAACTGAGAGGAAAAAGCTAACAACTGGTTTGACACCTGATACTGTTCACGCGGTGCTTCCAGTCAGGGAGACTGACCCATGAAAAGGCACAGGGACCTCTGGAATGGATCAAACTCTGACTCTCGAAAAAATTAAAAAACACTGTTTGTGATAAATATAAGCAAAAAGTTTACACTCAAAATCAATGGCACCAATAACTAGTTACATTTTTTTTCCACCAACCTTGTTCCTCATCTCTTAAGCTGCGCTTTGCCTTCCCAACTAATTTGATATTAGCTGTCCTGCGATCAGCCATCCTCCTCAGTTCCTGGCCTGTGGTTTGTGCCCACAAGAGGCCTTGCAGACCGGCCTTTTCTATCCCCACCAGGAGTGGCCCCCCTCCGGTGCGGCCTCCCACCTGTTGGTGTCCTTTAGAAGCCCCGGGCCTCTCCTGCGCCTCCTGTCCGGCCCAATCAGGGCCCTGACAGGGGGGAGCCAGCCTGTGAAATCACACCTCTCAGCTGTTCACACTGGGCTCGAGACACCCTACACCCAGTCGTTCCTCTGTTCAGCCCCCACCCCACCTTACCCTGCCTCTATTTTACACCGAATGTCAATGGCTCCTTTTTGGAGGAGGAAAAATTAGAGGGAGAAAGCGGAGAAACGAGGAAGCAACTGCCACATGGGCGTGTTTTGGTGGCTTTTGGGGGAACGGTCAGAGTAGCAGCTACAACTGGCAGGGAGACACAGCTGAAGCCAAGGTTGAGTTTCATCCCACTTTGGTTTCTGTTCTTCACTTAAGCTTCACTCCATCATTTGCAGTCTAGAAAAAAAGGTGATTATTCGAGGAATGAAATAAAATGAAAATGAATGAATGAAAGAAAAGAAATTGTGCACAAAGAGGTGACATCTTATATGGAGTGCCCCGGTCATAACACACAAACTAACAAATACAGTAAAGCCCTCTTTGAAAGTGTCACATAAACTTCTGTCCACAGAGCACGGGTAAGGATGTGTGAGTGGGAGCATGGGTGTTCTTGACGCACCATAAAAACAAGCAATAAAGTCCCAAGAAGGCACAAGGTGACCATCCTACCAACATGACACTTAGAAACAAAGCTGAGTGTGACAAGCCTGTTTTGTGTTGGGGGGAGAAAATGACAGAATTCTGTTGAAAAAGGAGAACTTTTGACTGTATGTGCAAATGATTAAAGATACATTTTGAATGACAGCTCTGAAGCATCTGCGTGACTATACAGTGATCACCAACGCTGTAGAGGCAAATGGGTCGGGCTCAGGGGTTCATTTTCCTCTGCAGCAAGCACAAGTCGCTCCGCTAAGGTCAACACCTGTGTTCTAAAATCAGCACCAGGGTAGGGTGTGATAGGAACCCGGGCCTCATTCACAGAAAGCTCCAGCTCAGAGAGAGGGGCTTATATTGAAACCCAATGCTCTCGCTATTTTCGAGGCACTCACCCTCCACAAATAGCATCCCACCACCACATCTTTGTAGCTCCCATTTTTCTCCACCACAGGATGCTGTCTAAATTCGACAGTTGTTCCATATTTCCCGTGGCTCGGAGCCAGGCTGTACCACAAATGTAACATTTCCACTAATGTCAGCTATGTGCAGGGGCTTCACCGTTTATATCTGTCGGCTGGGAATAGCCGATGGCTTCTGTTGTTGAGCGGATTCTTAAACACTCAAACTGGACATGCTGGTAAGGAAACACGTCTCGGTTCCTCTCAGTTGGACGGCTGATCACCGTCACCCATGCACAAGCCTCGTCTATACATCCCTATCATCAAGTGCCATTCATCAAGCAAAAACTCCTCTTCTCTTTCTGTTGTTTTGCATGACTGATTATCATTTACAGGCTTGACTTGGCCCCAAACATGTACGTCATATAAACGAGTTCCTCTCAAGAACAATTAATCCAAAATAGGAGATAGACATCATGGCAGTTGAGTGGCTAAGCTTTGCGTCCTCTACAAATTGGGCCAGTGAGGATATTTTTAACCTGTGCTCACATTCCGGGGCCCCCGTTTGCTAATCACTTTGTTCCCCTCTGTCATACCCAAATGCCCAGTTATCAATGTCCACTGCTTTTGGGATGGTCACAACACATTTGTCTTGGCACAAGGAAATAATGTCCCACAGGAGAACAGGTAGGAGTTCATCTGAGTCACCTCAGAGCCAGTGAATAACATAGAATGCCTTTGGTATAAATAAACTGGCAGCAGATGCCAGACAAGGTCATTTACATGCATAAGATTGATTAATCCTGTTTTCTTAAAGGGAGCTCCCAGCAGCAGATGGAAGATTAAACTTATGGACTGCGTGAGGGCTTGAGATGTTAAACACGGGGATTATGTTGTCATAAATGTCTGATGGCTGTAAGAAGAGTACTGGTATTTTGTTACTTGAAGAAGAAGACAGAAAATCAGAAAGCTCTAAACAAAGAATGCCAACAACGTCACAAAAAGAGGAATTTGTCAGATTATTGCGGAGATAGGACAGCACCATGCTGCTGACTCATTACATGGAGTGACTTTAATGCCACTCTGTCCTTCCCTTGGCACACCAGTTGCTGCGACTGAGGTTGACACAGCTGTTGAAGGCAGCACAGTCCCGTGTGGTGAAGCAATGGAGCAGAAAGGTCTAAGGTCAGCAGCATTTAGGTGAACAGAGAGAACAGGTGATGAAAGGTGAAGGGAACACACTCACTCGACTCACAGAGAGGGACGAGGGACTCAGATGGATGCTTTGAGATCAGTAGATTCAGAGCTGGAGAGCAGATTAATGAATGAGCTGTCTATGCACAGGCTCACAGATCCAGCAAATAAAAGGACTGCAAATGGACCAAATCAGTCTAAATAAAGAAATGCGTAATTAGGTTTGATCTGAACCAGGATGGACTTAAAAAAAGGAAATACAATGAATATACATAAATGCAAAAAAAAATTATACTTTGATACAATATAACTATTTATAAATCGAGGATAACTGCAAAAAACATGAAGACAATGATAAATTAACAAAAACAAACTGCTAGAGGCTATTTAAGATAATGAGAGGCTGTTTTGTTTTTCAAACTGCTCCCATGGACGCTGCTTTTGATGAGGTGCCTTCCTCGTGACATGTTGTGATGGTGAAGTCTCAAAAGGTGAGAAAACAGGAAACACGTCCTTTTCTCACCAATCACGTAATTAGGACATGAAAGACCTCTGCTAGCACACTGGGACCTGTGCCGCCCTCAGTGACCCTACTGCAGCAGTCAGAGGTGATGGGTGAGCTGCAGTGTGCATCAACCAGTCCTCCCATGAGCAGACCAAGCTTTTACTGAGCTGTGAAGTTGTGGCGGGTTTGATCTCACCACCCCTGATTATCACTTTTCTAATGGAGAGCATTTTGTCCACAGATTGTGAACATTTGGACCATTTTGGGTAAAACAGCGTCACATTATTGGCAAAATAGAGAAAGTGCAGAAATCTCAGTTTGTGATAATGTGTCAGAAGAATCTAATTAATTCCTTTTCTTAAATAAATACATATTTTCCTTTTTTTCATACCCAGGACTTGCAATTGAGGGTTTTTTCTCAGCTACTCTGATCATTCTACTGAGGTAACTTTCCTCTCGGGAACTTTTTCTCCCAGCTGCCACACGTGTCCACTTAAACCTTTCCTCTGTGTTTAGGAATGAGCAGTATTTGAACATGAATACGGAGTCTGTGGGGGTCGTGAGTCAGACAGAGCCTGACTACTTCTAAAAGGAGCGACAACTGCAGCAGCAGCAGCGTAGCAGAGGTGCAACGATGATGAGTTCATTGTGGTCACAACCTTAAAGACGAGCTGAATCAGCTGCAAATGTTTTAAGCTCGAGTCAGCAGTGATCATTGAAAGTCTACGTTCTATTCGACTCATCCACCGTCCCAACAGAAGCAAAATGTCATTTATTTTTACAGTCTTGACTGATCTGCTCCATTTTTTCTGTTTACCTGCTGAGTTTTCTGGCCCACTCTGACTGTTTCAAGTTGACCGCAGCGGACCACTCCTTTAGTTACTAAATCAGGTAATAAATCTCCTGAACTTAACATACAGTGAGAGATTTTTGCTCTTAAGATAATTTCATCTGAATAAATCAAATAGAGGTTAGCGTCACATATAAAATGATAATCTGAACATGAGAAGCTTTATAGTCAAAAAAGGTATACACTCAAAAATGTGTCCCCTTTAACCCCACAACCACCCAACACCTCCTCTTGTCCTCTTCATCCCCCTCATGGGAGGTAACAGCTGTGGTTTCACCCTGAGTCACATGACATGGGCAGGTGGGAGAAACCTATGCAGGACCCCCCTCTCTCCCTTCACACACAGTCTCACACACACACTTTTGTCCCTCTTCTGTCTCTAAATGTCAAACAACACACACACATAGTCATGAGCAGTCTCTACTGTTCAAGGGTGTGGCATTTTTGCATTGCTCAAATTGCTGTGTGCTTGTATCTGACACTCCACGTCTGATGTGTCCCACAGTGATGAAATTCCACATACGCAAATCTCTCTCGCTCCAGTCCCAGCTCCTTTGTAGCTGCTGGGCCTCGATCTGTCCCCCGGAGACTCTCAGCTGCTCCACTGAACATCCTCCTCTACCATCCATGTTTCAGAAATGTGACTTTTGACCCTCCGATGAGAGGCCCAGTTTGGTTGTAGGTCTAATGGTCGGAAATATGACTTGACTCCAGGGTACAGTTTGGGCAATCGCCAAGCCATTTAAAATATGACACTGCTATCTGGAAACGTGAAGAGAACTTTAGAAAAGGCGTTACATTAAAAAATAAGAAAATGAAAGAGGTAAAGATTTTAGGCAACATATCAGTGCTGTTGTGAGAACTGGTCTGGTCACCCAGTCAGTGTTGTTCGAAGTGTTTAGAATAATGTCTTCTGACAATATTACACATGTAAAATACATAAAGCAATACCAACAAATAATCCCCTTATGAAAAAGAACACGGGAGGGTATTTTTAATCTATTTTAGAACAATTTCCATCTTATAAATATTGATTTGTTTATTTGTTGATTAAAACTTTTTTAAAAACGTTAAATCTTGGCGGAACTGAAATGTACAGGCTCTGTTCCCGGGGACCGTTTTCTCAAACGGACTGGCAGAGATGGGGAGCTGTGTAGCTAGTAATAACAGTTTAATGTTAATTAGTAACTTATAAAGTAGAGCCTAATATATAAAATATATTTAAATCCCATTTACAGCTGTAGCTGTTTTATTTAATGACAGACGCTCCGGCGGTTAACCCTGACCAGTGTTTTGGACAGCTGACACTACAACAGAGGTCAGTCATCTACAAGTTTAGTGATGATATTTAGGGAGTAATGTTTCATGTTAAGAAACAAAACATATATTTAAAGTAACCAGTAACCGTTAAAACAGTTCCGTTAAACCATTCACGCTTGTATCGATTAATGTTCTAATATATCACGGCGCGAGATGCATCACTTCCATCAATGATGAGCTAAAATCAGTGAAACGTTTATTGTAACTGTAACAGTTGACACGGGTGAAATGTCTGTGATTTGCATCGGACAATAATAACACAGAAAAAAAATGTTTTTCATTCATTCATTTTCTCTTCTAGCATATTATTTTAGGCTGTGTGTAACAAGCAGCTAACCGTCAGAAACCGTTGGTCAATATCTTACAGATGTTATGTTTTAATGACACTTATCTATGCTGTATTTGTGTTGCATTCAAAGACAAAATGTTTTCTGATAACCATGCTTTGGGGAGATTTAAGGGTGATATCAAAGCAAAAGGTAAAAAAAGTACCCTTTCAAGCTTCCCACTTTGAGGTACAGCCTGATTTTAAGTTGGAAAAAAGGCAGAGACGAGTTTACCTGCATTTACCTCTGATCTCACTGACTTGCCAACACATTTTTCCTGTAGCCTCCTGCTGACATCAGACTTAACATGCAAAAAAAGCGAAGAAGTATACGCATGTTAATCTGATCATACTCCATCAGGTAAATTCGGTTTGATTTTGTTCATCAGACCATGTTACTGACGACAAGCCGCCTGTCCAGAGCGCTGCAGCTCACCCTGGCAGTCATCAAACCCGATGCTGTGGCTCATCCCTTGATGTTAGAGGTTAGCTACTCTCCTAAACACACAAAGAACCAGTCAGACTTATCCTGGCTTCCTGCTTATTTATCTTTTACTTCACACTTTAAAGTCCTGGATGAGTGTTTGAGAGCTGCAGGAAGAACCTTTTGCATATGTTACAGTCTCAGGTCTCTTTTCCTGATATTAAAGGTCCGAGGTCATAGAAGTAGTCTTGTGTAACCTGGCTGCAATCTATTTTTGTGTTCCTCTTATGTAAAACTGCAGTTATTTTCTGTTTTTGCAGGCTCTTCATCAAAGAATTTTGGACAACAACTTTGTAATTGTCAAACACAAAGACCTGGTGTGGAAAAAGGAGGATTCTGAGAGGTTTTATGCAGAACATTCAGGTGAGAACATAAACATGCTATGATTAGAAATAAGCCAAGTACTGCAGTGACTTCTCCGGGCAAGCAAAATGAGCCAGCAGCCCTTTTTTAGAAGACACACCACACTGTGAATGAAGGGCAGAAGAAGTGAATCATCCACACTGTGCTACTGACAGCTCACTCTGTCAGAGAGGAAAAACAATGCTGCCAAAAGGATTACTGAAAAAAAACAGTTATTCAGAGAGTCAACACTTTTTATTTCAGCTTTAAAACACATCACATGTATTCACTCTCCGTTTATCTACTCTCAGGGCGATTCTTTTACCAAAGACTTGTGGAATTCATGTCAAGGTAAGCAGCCTCCACACTGCTATCACCCTGATGCATGTTTTGCTTTTGACATATTTTTGTCAATGACAAAAGGTAATAAAAAATCGCCCACACAAATGACCCATCAAATCCAGATGCTGCTTACTTACTGTAGTGGCAAGCTCCTGCTAGCTGTGGGAGGGGGTTTGTAGTCATTTTTCTCCATTTGCCACAGCGAGACAGCAATAGCTTTAGCGTCCTTTCTCTGCTGTTATTTGTAACCGGGGCTGTCAGACAGTTAAGCCTGAAACAGCCCCAATTGGCATTTTTGGCTAAAATAGATAAGCCATTTCTCCCTGAAATTTCTCCTCAGGATGCACTGGAGTGAATAGATCAGATTTGTGTTTTTTTTTCGCTCTCCTCTACCAGAGAGAATCCACTGATCAATCCTTTTTTGTAAATTTTCCCTAAGTGGTCCAATGAGAGCATACATTTTAGCCCGAGAGGACGCAATCAGACACTGGAGGGAACTGATGGGACCAACCAAAGTGTTCAGAGCCAGATACACGTCTCCTGGTTCCATCAGGGCTCAGTTTGGCCTTACAGACACACGGAACACCACTCATGGCTCAGGTAGGAAATTATACCGAAGCATAATAACAGTTTTATTAAAGTGCTAGAAGGTGGTGGTGGTGGCGTGTGTGTGTGTGTTTGTGTGGGGGGGGTTAACCCATATGGAAATGTATGGAGGATCTGTGACCACAGGACATGTCATTCTGGTGGATCAATTAACTACAAATACTTAAAAGATTGTACTCATGAACTCATGACTTTTCATTAGATTTACTGAGAGCCTGTCAAGTGTAGCTGAATATTGATAATAAAGGAATGGTATATCTCCTTCAGATTCTCCAGAGTCCGCTCAAAGGGAAATCAGCTTCTTCTTCCCAGACTTTCAAATGGATGAGTGGATGGAGAAGAAGGAGCCGTTGTTCCGATCAGGACAGATGCGCTACGACCATCAAAAGCAGATCCACACACTTTCAGCTCCGAGCTGACCGAGGAGCCGCTCAACAACACTGTTTTTACACTGATAGAGGGAGGAAAAGGGAGGCTGTTGCTTAAGGTGGCACTATGTTCTGCCCTGAATACACCAAGACATTTAAAACAAGCCTGATATGTAATTTGATTTATTAGAAAAAACCCAACAAACCACCAGATAAAAAGTGAACCGTATTGTGCAAAACAACACGATGCTCTATGCCAGGTTTGTCATCACGCACTCCTGCCGAGGCTTCACGGTAAATTCTGTACGCATCACAGCCACTTTCAGTTTCCTGAGCCACAAAGATTGTAGGACAGCGAGAACTAAGTTACCAAATAATAAAACTATTAAATATCTACCCTTAAATGTGAAATTACACATTTATTAATGTTAATATTCATCTTCAGAAGTTACTTAAAAGGAATTACTTCTGAGTTGTTCTGAACTAGCTGTGAGAGAACACTAGTTCACCAATGAGATGCCTTATTTAATGTGTCTGATCAAAGTTAGGATTCAGATGTTTGATCTTTTTTTTCTTCAGAAAAGTACTGTCAAAAGTACTGCAAAACACACATAACACTGTAAAATACATCTCAGCTGAGGAAAACATGATCCCTGTTGTCATTTTGCATCCACCAGTCTTCAGAAAAATAAGGATTTTTTTCTTCACAAGAACATTTTTAGCATGTCTGCTTCACAGTCATTTTAGAAGTCGGACATTTTCCAGTCTTTTCTGTCTTCAAGTGTTTTGTGTGGCCACCTGTTTGAGAGCCTCCACTGGTTTCATGACCTCATATGTTGTGAGGGACTTCTTCACCTTCCCGTTCTTGTCCATCTGGTGGATGCTCTGTGTCACGGTGATGGTTACCTGCTTGGTCGACATCCGGTTGTCCTGCCATTTTGTCTGAGGGAAGGACAATCACAGAATGGACGATAAAGCAGCAGACTTTGTGAGCCTGTGTTAGATGTTACTGTTAGTAAATGGTTTTATAAGTTGTTGGCCTTTCAACTTTCAGCTTTCCTCAATAAATCAAAAGAAAAGTTGAGGCTAAACTTTCAGCACTCAAAGAAGTGTGCGAGTGGCTCACAATCTCCTCAGTGTGTAGAACGCTCCTGCGCTGCACCGTGGTCCCACACGACGGCTGCACCACATCCTGAGATGGAGACGCCAGTATGGACGACGGGCTGCTGGGGTTCACGTCGTTCAGGCTGGCTTCAGACACAGCCGAGCAGACCTTCAGGTACGCCTGAGCAGGAGGGGGGAGGCCATCTTCAAAAAAATCTGGAACTGCCAAAAAGAAGACTCAGCCAAAACACCACAACTACCTCGTTAGCTTATGAAAACTAAACTCAAAACCCCACATTTAACCACAAATGCATTTCCAGTGCATAACTCCAAGTCATTTGGAAGAGTTTTATCTAAGATCAGTTTACGATAGACACATTTTTGATTTAGTATTGATTTGGCATGGAAACCACACAAAATCTATGTATTTGGCTGACCAAAGTTGTGGTTGAATATAGTCTCAGCTTAATACACACACCTGCTGTCTGACTGCATATACTAAATGAGAATCTAATGATGAGAAGCACTGTAGCATCTGTCAAGACTGTGTAGATGTTAAGAATGCACATAGAAACAGGTGGTCACAGATTCTCCCAACAGTTGTGCCTTTGATATGTGTTTTAACATGTCTCAGCAAAAATAAATAAATTCAAAATAAAAGAACCATACTCAATATGGAAGCACTGAACATGTCAAATCACTCATGCAGCATGTGTAAAAAAGCTGTTAATTTGTGATGCACTCCGTTAGGTAAATAGATGTAAATGTGTATATGGTGTAGTTTATCTTAGCCTAAATATAAATGAACACAAACAAGATTAAGCCTTTTTAATTAATACCTTCTAGAGGTATACACTTGCTATATCAATCAAAAGCCACTATTTGGAATAATGTGTTAATTAATTTGCCCACTACTGGATGTGTTTTATGTCCTCATCATGGGGCAGCGTTCAATTGGTCTACTACACAATCAAATCAAGGCTCCTCCACCCGCATTCACCACCAGCTGCATCTGTTGCCATGAGAGCAAAGTCTTGTTTGAGCGCCTAGGCTTTTGAAGCAGTCTACTATTCTTCTAGCCATTTATCTTCCCCCGGCTTCAAAGAAAATGCAACCGCGAATAAGTGCAAAAGACGAAGTTAACTAACGACAGTGAGAAATCCAGACAGTCACCCAGCACATGTAGGAGGGTTTCCAGAGCTGACGCTTTATCTGCTACAGGTCATTATGTTAGACTCAGTCCTGTCAGGAGCACCACATATCATTGCATTACACATATTCTGTGTCAGCCAAATGATTAACAACTGATAATATCAAAGCCATTTGCCTATCACATAAATGAAGCTTTCAATCTACTTACCAGGGCTGATTGTTTTCTCTGAGGCAAAGCCGGCCTCTGAGTTGTCAGAGGGGATGCTCTGGATGGATGACAGGGGGATTTCGGCATCTGTGCTTGTCAGCCATGTGGACTCGGTCTCTTTGGTCCAGCTCTCTAGGTAGCGAGGTTCCAGAGCATCCGTCCTGCTGCCCCCACACCCCATCGCTCTGGAGGCTCAACTCTTTTTCAGAGAAGGCAAAGACAGCCAAACATTTAGTTTCAGTTTAATTATAAAAACGAATCATACTGAGAGGAGATAATTGTGAGTGATTCAGTAGACCTTTGCACATCATACTCTGTGTAATATTTATATTACACATTTAATGCAGAATGCAAACTGTCATCCTTATTTGAAAGAAAAAGAAAAAGCTGTTTATTATCAAGCTTAGTGTAATTGCTCCTGTTTTGTGTGAAAAATTATTCACCATAGACCTGTATGGAACAAAACACCCAAAAAAGAAATATATAATAACATTGTTACATTGATGTCTGTTCTTTATTCTGTCAGATTACACATACTTACAGCTAAGCATACAGCTGTGAGAGGGCCTGAGTGCCCTCATTAGGTGATTTCTGTCCTTTAACGTGTAGATTTAGTGGTCCTGTCGGGGTTAACTCAGTTACATTTCTCCAGGAGTGTTTAAATGCAACATCATCACATGATGGAGCAGGCCTGGGAGACCAAATCACACTGAAGCCAGTCGATAATCAACCATGATGCAGTCACCTTAAAGGAGGAGACAAGAGAGTTGTGATGGAAATGCTGTGTTGTGACATCCAATGGTATTTCACAATTTTTCTTTGAAAGATTGTGGCTTAGTTTAATAAACATTTAATGGTTAATCCGAAACTTCTGATCTTAATTATTCAGGCAAATGTGATGAATTGGTCAGTGTATATCCTGTTCACATCTATTAACACACTGGATCACTCCAACTCGATCAATGCACCCTGTAAAATAATGACCTCCAGCACAGTTTAACATCAGCTCAATAGGAGTAATTGAGCTCCGCTCTTTAACAAGACGCTAATGACTTTTATTGATACAGAAACACACACAGGCTCATATCTGGATCTTCCACGATTGCCTTGAAGGCAACGATTATGCCCAGGTAAGTGGGTCTAAATGGACACACCAGAACCGCTGTCAAATGAATCCACGCAGGATAAATACGCCTGGAGTAAAAGCTATGCTGGCACGGATCTGTCAGCCTCACAGGCCACGAGAAAACAGCAGCGACGTGATATCCAAGAAGAACAGCGATCCGCAGGGATGGGGGATTGCCACACAAACCACTCTTGACCAGCTAACGACGAACAGGAAAATATGTTAGAGGCTTACAAATGGTGGAGAATCCGAGTTTATTTTGGCGTCGCTCCGCGGCTCCTGCCAATCGTCCGCCCCTCACCAGCGAAACATTCAGTTTACCTGACACACCCCCGACAGCAGCCTCCTCACTCATCCTCCCCTACACCACCGATCAATAAGGACACGGAGAAGGCTAAATCACCCATCCTGTTGTCACGGAGAGGAGAAGAGTCTGTCTGTCTTTTAGGATAAAGGCATTACCTCAGCTGTTGCTGGGTAAAGTTCAGATGAATAGAAATGCCATCTGTGGGCGCTTCTCGACCGACGCAGTGCCGCTTTCTAGCCAGACACCCAACTCTTAAGACCAGAAAAACTAACTCATTGAGGGTCAAACGCAAATTGGACTGTAGAGCAATAAACCATTCAAAATTTAAGGAGGATTTACAGCTGTTTTTATATTTGATATTTGGGATTGGACTTGAACTGGTGCAAACTCTTTGGCCATTGATTCAAAGTTCCAAAAGTATATGTTTGTCACGAGGAAATATAAAAAAAGACACCTTAATACCACATGTCAGTTTAACCGCAAGCCATTGTAGTTTCTAATTGTTTTGACATTAATTTGGCCATAAGTAGACACAACAGAGAGGTGCCTAATGGAAATAATCCTGGAATGGCTTCCAACAGTAAACTTGGATGGAGTCCAGCTTTGGGTGTGTGGGTTTGACAGTGACAGGAGTGTGTGGCTCCATCCCCTAACCCCTCTGACCGCTAACATGGACTGATGGCCTCCTAAATGTGAGGCAGCTGTTGTTTTGAGGACCATTTCACATAAATGAGGGAATACTGGGCTCTTTTATGGAGTTATTTTTGTATCCATTGGGACAAATAAAAGGACATGGATAGAGTCTTGCAAATCAGCTCTGCAGAGGGACAAGAGCTAAAGAATACTGGTATGAGAAGCAGTGACTAACCAGTTGAAGTTGATTAAGGAGAGATTCTACTTTTGTTTAGGATTTTAAGAGGGTGACGTATAAGATTCAGAATATATTTCCCTTCAAAAACAGGAACATAATGTAAATATGAAAGCTAAAGTAATCCAGTTGATATGAAGTTATTTCACGCTTCTGGATCCCAACTTTCTACTCCTAAGCTCTTGTAAAAGAACCCGTTTGTGTTTATAGTGAGCATGTAAGTACTATTAAATGCCTTAAAATCAACATTGCAAACCATTTTTCTCTGAGTGATACTGATTTCTTTCTGCTGTCTTCACTAAAAAGTTGAATGATCTTTGAACTTCCGAGCACCACTGCAAAGTTGTTCACTTTTTTGTCCACAAGGGGACACCCCCACTCTACTCCATTAAAACGTTCTTTGTAAATAAATCCATCAATAAATCCTCTGCGCCTTCTTTATCCTTTTCATACTTAACAGGAGCTGGATCTTAGTCAATTCATCCCAAAGAATATGAATTTCTTTAATTGTTAAGATTGAGTGTTAAATATTACCTTTTGGTTACTAAGACAATATTGCAAACACAGCGACATAAAAAATCCGCCTGAAACTGCTGCCCATTTCAGCATAACTAAAGTTGCCCATCTTATAAAGACGCTATATATACCCTATCCGTGTGAGTATTGGTTAATGAGTGAATAATCATTGTAAATCTATGCAAAATGACACATCAAAATAAATAACCGAGAGCGAGTGCACACAATGTCTTAAATTGATTTTATTGTTCACCCAAGGTTCTTTTTTTTGTTGAGTTGTGTTGTGGCTTTCTCCTTTAAAAACCCTCATCCCAGTTAAAAACACTCTGCGAGCGCTGCCATCCACTGATAAAATTCACATCATCACAAAGCTCCCGTTTCTTCCTAAAAACTGCATATTATTGATTGCTTGTGAAATTTCTGACTTGGCAGCAAAGTGCACATTCATCAGAGTTCTCTGCTGCAGCCCCTGTGATTTTCTCGAATGTGCAGAAAGAACAATAAGCAGCATCCCTCTTTCTGCTTTATTGCTGGAATGGGGTGTGAAGGTACAGCTGCTCTGATTGAGAGGTCTGCTCACGTACATCAGGGTTGTTTGTTTCTTATGTGAAGCAACGCATAAAACAGGGAAGAATGGAGCTCAGACTGTAGAATGAGTTCTCTAAAATGGAAGCTCTGAGGTGGGCAGCATGCTCTAGGTCCCAGTTGGTGAAACTACTAATGACCAGTTAATGCGAACATACACTTTTCATAGGTTTTTGTTAAATTGTCATGACTCTATGGACAAAATTCTTCAAATGCAAACAAAAACATATAACTTTGAAACTAACTCACAACTCATGATGGAGACTGGAGAGAAAAAAAAGGAGTGAGAACACTGCTGTCAAACTGTGCGCTGCATTCACAGCTGTCACTCTTCAATTCTCTCCTGTCTACTGCATCACTGAACCATAATCCTACTCTAACAGTCATGAGCTGAATAGTAGAGCCCTTGTTTTATCGAAAGGTAGGGGGAGTTCAAGTTCAGGAGAAAATTACCCCCCAAAAAGGAAAAAAATATGGAGGCGCTTATTGCTCACAAATTCAGCTGTTATTTAATGAATGTCTGACAGATCCAAATCTCTGTGACTTCCTGAGCTCCGCCCACACCTCATTCCCCCGTCACCTGGCTAATGAATCTTGCTTCCAGTGGACAGTCTGGTCAATATGAGGCCGGACAGCTTTGATTTGTACGTCCTGCCCTCATGTCCTATTGGACTGCTGGTCAATAAGCCTGTCTTCCCATTACCTTGGCGATTAATGTGGCGCACTGCCAAACGCGACACTGGAGTGAAACATGGTTCATAGAGAAGCTCTCAGTGGTCTCAACCACATGCCAGTGCATTACATCAAGAATTTACTTTATAATGCATGCGACAGCATTCTTTTAGTTATGACTCTATGACACATTAGTGCAAGTGAAGCCTCACTCTTGTTGTTGTTCCTCAGTCCTGATATTTAGCCTGTTGCAGGACTTAAACAGTACTAATAATCATTATACAATCATTCAAATTCACGTTTAAGGGAAAGCAAAAACACACAGCAAGGAAAAGTAAAAATTAAATTTAAAGGCGCTTTAAAGTGAGTAAAACATTTTTCTTTTCCTTTTTGCTCTTCGGATGCCCCCAAATAAATGTTGGATGTAACACCACTCTGTGAGCCTTGCTAATGTACAGCCAAAGACATGCAGTTCTTGTTATGAAAAGGTGGCAAAGACGCCATCAACGGAAATGTCAAACAAGAAGACAGCACAGTGAAGTGCCATGTCAGGCCCAGATATGTGCATGCCTAACATTGGTGAACCTCCTTTTGTATTGTTCTGCATGTTCTCCAACGCTCCTTTAAAACAGCAGTCACTAAGACTTTTGAAGAGCTTTTTTGATCTGGCATGAAGGTAAATAGTGTCTCATTTAAATAAATGACAGTTAGCAACTGTTATTGATTATCTGACTACATTGACAGTTAACCGACATGCAAGGAAAAAGTATTTTATCATTTCTAAGAAATACATCAGGATCCTGTAATAAATCCAAAATGAAATTTACAGCTAGTCATTCCCATGAGGAAACATTTTTTTACGGTGATTTTAAATTTATGTGCTGTTTGTGTGTGTGTGTTGAGCCCCTTCATTTTCTACAGCTTGTCAAGGCTGACAGCAAATATTATTCACTCGCTATTGATTTGCAAAGTTGTTGTGAGAGTGAGGGAACTTATTTCTGGCAAATTCTCTTAAGCGGGGGTGTGAATGAGCTAATATGCTGCAGTGAAGCAGCCAAATCCAAACGTTCACCGGGATTCGGCTTACAGTCCTTGAGTTGCAGCACT